GGACTAGGGACAGAGTTTCTCGTGAGTTGCCGTCAGTTGGACGTATTTCTATCAAACGGAACTAAGCGCCATCGGGGGAGGAAGGGAGAGGGGGGCTTGGACTGGCGGGTGTTGCGGAACGCGATTCTCGTTCCGTCCCATACTAGCAATGCTTTTCCATGGCGCTTAGTTCCGTTTGACAGAACTCGCTATCCGGGATTCTAAAATCCTCAAAAGGAACTCAATTCGGCGCTTAGTTCCGTTTAACAGAAATACGCCCAGTTAGTCTATTACCTACCCTCTTTGCCCATTCCAACCACCTACTTCCACCAATAGGATCCCTCTGTATCCTTTTTGTCTTTTTTGTCAATAGCTTTGTCTATCAATATCAATGATCGGCCCGCTAAAGTCACATTTCTCTCGCTGCCGGAGAGATGATGTTCAGCTGATTCGATATCACCATATTTTGTGTCAAAACGACATGCGATGTACCGCATAGATTGGTTCAATTTTTGTCAGCCACTCGTCATTTTTCTCGAATTTTGAGATCGCAATTTTTTTGTCAGGGGACCAAAGAATGCACTTATCAATTTTGACAAACAAATTCAACGTATTATAGGCGTGGTGTTTTTAGAGAGAAAATCTCGCATTCGAGTGCAGTTTCGATCTCAGTATCGAATGTGATATTTTTCCTCTAAAAAAACCACGCCTTTATTAAGTTAAATTTCTTTGTCAAAATTGGTGAGTGAATTCTTTGGTCTCCTGACTAAAGAATTGCAATCTCAAAATTCGAGTAAAATGACGAGTAGCTGAAAAAATGGAACTAATCGATGCCATATATCGTATGTCGTTCTGACACGAAATTTAGCAGCCATCGAATCACCTAAAATACCTCCCTAAAATTACAGAGTTTCATAAAAAAAATGTATGTCGTGACGTCACAACGAAGCGTTAGTAGGTGTTTTACGAGCACTTAACGACCTGGTCATTTAGTTGCCTCGTGACCACACCGGATTACCTATTTACGCGATGGCGTGTCTTCCTTTCTCAAGAGGCAAACTACATTAAATCTTTACTGACCGTTAAAGCTAAGGCAGGAAAACTCTCTCTGCCGCTCGAATTTAAGCCTTATTCTTTCCAGTGACTTGCGTGCTTTGCGATACATCGATTGATCTGCCATTTAAACCTATAGAAAAAGATCGATGAACATAGTGTTCGTGACGAACACCTTAATAATCGATTTTTCACCCTGGCTTTAAATGGGGATATATCGATATATCGATAATCGATCATCCACGCTTCGCCACTGTTCGAACCACTTTTTCTGGTCGTGCGAGACGTACTAATTCAGGGATGAGAGAATTGGGAGGGGAAAAGTTTTCTTCATTTGTGCTAGTTAGACAGCTTTAACAAAAGTCGGCCTAACTGCATCAAGCGTTGCCCAATTTCTTTACATCCCAAGTAGCATTTTCTGACGGAAAAATCATAATTTTTGAAATTAAGTTGCGATTTTTTTTACGATTTTTCGTGGTTTCAATCGCTAGAATCATCAGCGTCTGAGCGATTATCCTCAATCTTGCCGAAACCCGCAAAATCAAGTTTGATAAAATCGACATTTTACCTTAAATTAGCACGATTTTTTGTTCAGAATTATTGCAATAAATCTTCGTCGATAAAATCGCAATTCTTTATCTGATAATATTGCAATAAATGAACTTGGATAAAATTGCGAAACATTCTCTGATTCAATCGCAACTTGTCAAAATCACTTCTATTTGGGATGTAAATTTTATTATAGTATAAGGGACGAATATCATTGGAGAGGAATCATAGAGTACGTAATGAGAGAAATTCGCAGAAAATTTTAAGGTGTTATGTTGAATGCACTGGAAAAAAAACACATCGGAGCTAGAGTCCAGACTCTTAAAAACATCGACAAGAAAAAATACTCTTGATTCAATCGGATTTTTGCTTAAATCAAGAACCAAGCTTCTTAATTTGAGTGGATTTCCTTTTGATTTAAGCTTAAATCTGATTGAATCAAGAGTATTTTTTCTTGTCAATTTTTTCAAGAGTCCGGACTCTGGATCCAATGGTTTTTTTTTTTTTTTTTTTTTTTTTTTTTTTTTTTTTTTTTTTTTTTTTTTTTCCAGTATGTCATTTTAACGGAATCACTATTTGGGGGTATGAGTTCAGACTATCTGGACCCTCTCTGCCAATAGAGCTATTGTAGAGGTGACGGGTGGTGGAGTAGGGAGCTAGGACCAATATTCCATGAAGTAACGAAACGGAATGCCTGTCCGGACCGCGTCGCGTCGCTGAAATTCATTTGCTGAGTCTTCCAAGAACGGCGTTGGTTCAGTAAGCGTTTTGCCGAACAATCGTCTATGTCAAGGGGCGTCAGCACATTGCAGCAAAGCAATTCTCGCGAATTTTCCGATTTGCTCCCGCGCGCATTTAGCTCTTTCATGCACTCATGACTCACTTTCGACTGGGTTAGGATGGGCGTGTTTATCGAAAAAGCGGACCACACATAACGTCGCTCTTCTGACGTTAAGGCGTAAAGTGTTCACATCGGTTTTATCCGTATAAAATAGTCAGTGGAAAACTCGCAACGTCGCAAATTGAGGTATGGATCTTTCTTACTTTACCGTCGGTGATGAGGAAATGTGTAAGTCCGCACGCGCTAGGGTGTAATTTCAACGGTAATGGTCATCTTCCTCCATTGAGTTGAAGCGATAGTGTTGACGGCGCTCTGAGCAACTATTTCACCTCGGAAGTGTTGCACAGTATCAGACAGAAATGAAGGCGCACTGCCCTATGTAAATTGACTGGTATTCGACGGCCGGCTCGAAGCAGCGCAGTGATACACAACGGAGAATGGCATTGATATGCAATCCAAAGCATCTTACATCCATCGAAAGTATTCTCACCCGATAGGGGATCAAAGATTCCCGAGAAAGTTACAAAACGGGTAGAAAGGTTCCTGTTAAATTTTTTCGAGAATTCCCCTTTTTCGCTCTTTTAATATATAAGTAAGTAGGTAATCACCGCGTAAAAATATGTGGAACCTGGTCTTGTTCCCTCCAAAAAATTTTTACTGGGAAGACTTTAGCCAGGGATCCCTCATCCCGTGAACTTTCTTCGGAAGACGTTTTAGAGCTTTCATCAGCGGTGCATAAAACTCCCACGGGAATCCTAATGAGATTGTTCCAATCAAAAAAATGTAATTGATTCAAAATAAAAAAAAAATAAATAAAAATTAAAAACAAAATTTTATAACATTAGTTTTAAGATTAGCTTTATGCGAACATTAACTCCTATGTAATTAATACCCCACAAGGGGCAGTAGTACATTTTAACTTAATAAAAAGAAAATAAAATAAAAAAAAATTCAAAACGGATTTCGATCGAAACAGATTCCGATCGAAACAGGCTTTCGAAACGATTTTTTCGAAGTGAACGATTACTAAATGATCGCTCGATCGTTTCGTACGAACCAACGAGCGAAACATCGGTTCGAGGACAGCCCTATATAGTTGTAAACCTGATCTTAAACCTAACGAGTGCGTTTTGGGATGGAGGGGGTTAAAAATCTGATTTTCAACGTTACATATTTTACAATTGATCGTTTTCTGCTAAACAGAACTACGCGCCAATTTGATTTCCTTTCTGAGGATTTTAGAATCCCGGATAGCGCATTCTGTCAAACGGAACTAAGCGCCATGGGAAAGCATTGTGAGCATAGGACAGAGTGAACTCCTCAGTCCCACCTGCTAATCCAACCCGCCCCAAGTAGCATTTTTCAACGGAAAAATCGCAATATTTTGAAATTAAGTTACGGGTTTTCCTTATTTTTTAGTGATAAAATCGCTAGGTTCATCAACATTTAAGTGATTATTTCGATTTGTCACAATTTTTTATCAATTTTTCACGATTTTTTGTTCAATATTATTCGTTCATAAAATCGCCGTCAACACTCTCGCGGTTTTATTGCAAATTTATGGAGTGAAATCGCACTTTATCGCAATAATTATCCGATAATATTGCAATATATTAACCTCGATGAAATCGCGATACATTCGCCGATAAAATCGCAATTTTCAGCGATCACTACCACCTGAGGCATTCTCTTTCTTCCTTCTTTGCCGCTTAGGCCCGATTACCAGAAATACATCTAAATAGCCCTCAAGGTTGATTTCAATACTGCCGTGCTAAGGAAGAACGCCGCATGAGCATCCGAATGTTGCCAAATTTCCTCTTAGAAAATATCCATTTTTGAAGAAATATATGAATATTTTTCCTTGAAATTTTCAGACTTTTTAGATCATATTTCGAACAAAATCCTCCGAAAAATCGGAGGAGAAATCTGCCATGCTGAGCGAGGACGCCATGAACCCATCAAGATTTTCTTACGTTTTTTGGAACTTGGCACTTTATGAAATAAAAACTTTTTTACCCATGCACCTCAAATTTTCAGGTTAAAGTCTTGATAGTATTTACGAAATAATTCAGTAAAAATAAAAACATTGGCCCAGGATACACGATTTTTTCGGCTGTGATAGATTGTTTCCAAAATATTAAAATGGCGTTTATGGGTTTTTGTGTTGCACGGCAGAAATATTCACAGATTTTTCTGAAAATGTGTTGTTTTTCGAAGGAAATTTGGACCGCATTAAACAGAAAGGAACCAAGCCACATCAGCTGTTGTCAAATTTAGCAGGGAATTTGATTTTTTACGAGAGAACGTTCGTGCGGATCCCTTGGAAAATTTTAAGAAACTTGCCTTGTACCAAGCAGAAAATTCACTGAAATTTGCACAAAAATCCGCGCAGCCGTTTTCGTGTAAAAAATTAAATTGCCCGATTAAATTTGGCAATAGCTAATGTGGCTTGGTTCCTTTCTGTTTAACGCGGTCCATTTGGGAAGGCCTGATGGTTCATACGGCGTTCTTCATTGGCACGGCAGAGTCGCGGCATTCATTTTGAAGGGAGGAAAAAGAAGAAAACGGAGGTACTCACTGGGTCTCGTTATTCTGGAAATGGAGGACGCCGGTGAGCTCGCCGTAGTGATCCCCGTACTTGGCGGTCCCGTTCTGGGTGTAGAAGGGCACATCCACGGCCCCGCGGGCCCCGCTGCTCCGGTACACGGTCACCTTGAGCTCGCCCACGTTCTCGGCCGTCTCCAACTTGGGGTCGGCGAAGCCGAACGACCCGCAGTGGTCGTCGTCGAGGATCATGACGACGGCCGTGGCCGGCTGCCCCAAGTTGACGACCCCCTCGCCGCCGACCGTGCGGGCCTTGGTCAGGTGCACGTAGAAGTGCTCGTTCTCCTCGAACACATCGTCGTCGATGATCTGGAGCGTGATCCGCTGCTCGGCCTCCCCCGGCTGGAACACGATCGTCCCGGAGGCGCCCACGTAGTCGGACCCGGCCACGGCCGTCCCGTCCTCCGTCGTGAAGTCCACCTTGACCGTGTCCCGGAGCGCCTTCTCGTCGGCCACCTCGCGGGCCACCGTCACGTCGAAGCTCCCGATGTTCTCGAGCACCGTGTAGTACTGCGGCCGGAAGAAGACCTGCGTCCCCTCGGGGGCCGGCGCGATCTTCTGGTTCGAGTCCTCCCGGATGGAGATCTTCGAGTGGTGGCTCCCGGTCAGCATCCGCGAGGCTTGCACGCGGTAGAAGGCTCTGGACTTGGGTAGGTTGGCCATGATCCTCTCTTGAGCGAGACGCTCCAGCTCGTCCATGGACATGCCCGGGTTCTCCTTCTTGAGCATGCGCAGCGTGTCGGCCAGGGACTCGGGGTCTTTGGAGTCCTCGAGGATCTCCTCCTCCGGCTCCATGGCCATGTTGATCTCGCCGGACTCGGCGGCGACGATGACGCGGTTCCGGTTGAGCCGGAGGCTCTTGAAGGAGTGCGACTGGGAGCGGTCGGCCATGTAGGCGGTGAGCACGGTGGCCGGGAAGAAGAGGAAGGTGAGGATGCCCTCCCAGACCTCGACGACGCCCTCGCTGATGACCGCCAGGATGAGGTAGAGCCAGATGTAGGCGAAGACGGACCACGTGGCCGTCACGAAGAAGACCCGCAGGTGCTTGATCTTCCGGACCTCGCCGTCGGGGACGACGTAGACGCACAGGGAGATGATGACGAAGAGGTTGTAGGCGGCCGAGCCGACGATGGTGCCGGGGCCGAGGTCGCCGGCGGTGAAGTTCTTGGCGTAGATCTCTATGATGGAGAGGAGGATCTCGGGGGCCGAGGAGCCGAGAGCCATGAGGGTGAGGTTGGCGACGGTCTCGTTCCAGACGCGAACGGTGACGGTTTGCTCGGTGCCGTCCTTCTTCTTGACCTTGATCTTCCGCTCGGAGGAGGTGATGACCTCGATGGCGGACATGAAGCGGTCGGAGATGATGGAGACGCCGAGGAACATGAAGATGAGGCTGAGGAAGTAGACGATTCCGCGGAGGACGACCTCGGAGGTGGAGAGGCCGTGCTGCGGCTGCCAGACGGAGAGGATGAGGCCGTCCTGGCACTGCGTCGCGTTGTCCAGGTGCACCGACTCATCCTGCGCGGCGCTGAGCGGGAGGCCGGACAGCAGGAGAGCCAGCACCATCGGGGCTGATTCCTCTGCAAGGGGGTTACTCCTCTTCGCGGGGCTATTCGCACGACGACGTCCACGATCCCATGGCGAGCGCGAGGGCACCTTCCGTCGCGACGCGGACACACTGACTGAGCGTCGCGGCGCTCGTGCAACAACCCGACGCCCCCCGCCCCTCCCCTCCCCGCCGCGTCGCCGCCGCCGCCGCGCCGCCGCGCTGTCTTGACCGAAATTCTCCCCGAGACTTACCCCGCTGTCGCCGGCCACCGCGACGCCAGATCGCGGGTTCGCGGGTTCGCGGCTCGAGCCCCCTTCACCCCCCTCGACATCTCTCGACTTTTTACCGAGTTCTTTGCAGTTTTCGTGAAATGAGAGGCTCCAACCCGGAGAGGCTTAATTGCATTGAAACGTGGCGAAATTTCACCTCGAGGCGCGTTCTTTTATCTATTTTCTAACGGAAATGGCGACTACGTGTCTCCTCTAAATTTGACGGTAGGAAACCAAGGGGGAAAAATTGGGAAACAAGGCTAAAATACACAATTTAAAGAAACCGAGACGAGATCCCGACCACCACCATGTAGGGCTCAGATTTTCCATTGTTTTTTAAGTTTTTTTTTTAAAATTTTTATTGTATTTCTGACTGAAAATGACTCAGTTTTGAGTCGAAACGTCTCGGTTTCTTTTAATTGTGTATTTTAGCCGTGTTTCCCGTTTTATTCTGTTGCCATCGTCTCTGGCTGCTCTGTAAAAATTTCTTTCTAAATTTGACCGAGTTTATCAGAAACGAACCAACCCACATTCAATTGAAACCGGGAGAAAGAGGTTTGGGGTTTTATTCCCCCGTCAGACTCAATGTAGAAAATAAACTTTAATCCCTCTTTTCACAAACTAACTTTTTTTTCGACTTTGAGTTTTTGGCCGGAGAAAATATACGACTCGAGGGACATAAAAACACCTTCACTCAATTTTTTGAAAGTGTAGGTTCCTTCCTCTCTGATAAACTCGGTCCAGTTAGCAGTCCATGCAAGAGAAGAACGACTCATGAGCCTTCAGCCGTTACTATATTTTCGCGGATAAAACACGAATTTTCTGGGAAAATTGTGCATTATTTTCTCCAACTTTTTCAAAGACTCGCAATTTCATTCTCGAAGTCTTCGTTCCCCGGACGGAAGAACGTAACCCCACCCCCCCCCTCCCCAGGTTGCGAAATTGACTCAAGCTATTCAGTTTTTTTTTAAAAAATGTACCTGAGCAAGTTTTGTTGAAAATGTTTCTGAATTTTTCATGAGATCAGTAGGAACATCAGCGAAATTTTCGATGAGAAATGCCCAAGATATTCTCACTAAAAAGCGATTTGCGCCAAAAAATTGGCAACATTTGAAAAACGGTTACATTTTTTCGTGAGGAGAACGACGCGCGACAGGGAAATAATTGAAAATGAAACTTCAAAGAAGCGTTTAAAGATACAACGGAGAAAAAAAGTATAAAGAAGAGGAAGCATGAAAAAACTCCAGCATGAACAACAACGAAGGATGGATATACATGCCCAAGATCAACGAATGGGGTAGCCGCAACCTCACAACTATACTTAACCAATTAACGAAGCGCATACAGATAAAATTGAGCCATACGACTGGTTTTATGAAAGTTAACTTACCACTTCACAGTGCAAACTATAAAATGCATCGATAAATCCAACCCCTGAGAACATCCCGCGACCTACATCCCCATCCAAGCATAGTGCGTTATTGACATCCTCCTCAGACGTCCGAAGCAGTTAAAGGAAATCGCCCTCCCACCCCTCCCCCCTGGGAGGGGATCTCTACTGTTTCCATCCTTTTCTTGTTGCGTCTTTCCCCTTCTCTATCGACCGAATTTTCCACTTTATGCCAGAGAGAGCACGTGAATAATTAAAGGGGGACCCTCATCAACAAGTGACACCACTTCCACTGCTACCTGTTGATCATCCCGAGCCGTGCGGATTTGCGGTATTGAAATTGGACGTATTTCTATCAAACGGAACTATGTGCATTAAGACGTGAGCCCTGAGACCCATAAGAACACGTGCATAACAGGGCTCACGTCATAATGCATATAGTTCTGTTTGACAGAAATGCGTCCAATTGAAACTATTAAATGGAAGAGGATACTTAATCGAGATATTCCGGAAGTGGCGGGGTGAGTTTGTTTCGATCTCGTGAGTGGAAAGATTTATGCCGCTGGTTTAACTTTTAGAAAAAAGATGAGTTCTTTAGGAAGTTATGAAAGGTATACTTTAACCGAATCAATGGCGGATGAAAACCGTCGATATTGAGAGCGTCATTTGATGTGATCAATGACTTTCGTGCGGCTAATATCTATAAGTAATTAGACCATAAAAACTTATGAGGAGCTTGAAGGACGAGGCGCAAAAGTGCAATATTGAAAATATTGAGATATTCATGAATTCATGAAAAACTGGTTTGAAATTAGGTATATTCCGTGGAAAATTCACAAGTAAAATCCAACTTTAAAGCATCAAAGAGTGAGTTTAAACCTCCTTTCCGCCATGAGGCTCCATGTAATTTTGAAACCTTAAACACGTACTTTCTTGAAATAGCAGGAACTGCATTCATGCGCCTTGTCTTCCGAACCCCTCACTGGAAAAAAACACATTGGATCTAGAGTCCAAACTCTTAAAAACATCGACAAGAAAAATATTCTTGATTCAATCGGATTTTTGCTTAAATCAAGAACCAAGCCTCTTAATTTAAGCGGATTTCTTTTTGATTTAAGCTTAAATCTGATTGAATCAAGAGTATTTTTTCTTGTCAATGTTTTCAAGAGTCTGGACTCTAGATCCAATGTGTTTTTTTTCCAGTGCTCTTATCACATTTGCCAGTTCATTGCGTGCTGAACAGTTTTAGCATCGCCGAGAATAGGCACAGCTGCAATTTAAAATTGTTACTGTGTCATCTTTATTTTCATTCCTGGTCCCATTTAATGCGTATTTTTTTAATTTATACGTATTTCATGACATACATGAGCGGCGATGAAAAAAAAAGGAATAGAAAAGAACCTCTTTTACATCTACCACGACGGTGGATACGCCTTCTTTGAGCACCCGCAAACACCATGTACTTACGTAGAAATGTTCGAGTTTTCTAGGACTGGAAGTGTTTAATTGTCTAGCGACATGCCTCATTAAAACAAGCAATACATGCATGGCCTTGTCTGATTTTGAGAAATAAAAACTTGAGCGATTTCTTTTCAACAGCGTAGATACTGATGTATGTTGAAGGAAACAGCGCAAATAATTCTATAACCGAGCGAACAGCACAACCCTGGATAACGCAATTAACTCTCAAGGGGTTGCGAGATGCGTCACATTACCATCACGCGGTTGACGCAACTATTTTAACCTGAGAGTGTTGCGGGGTATCAGTTTCAAATGAAGGCGCTTTTTACTCGCGTAATATCTACGCTGAGACTCGCGCTGGAAAGAGCAAGCTGTCTGGAGGGGAATAAAAAATGACGATGAGCAGTATATGACATGCTGATGGATATCGATGGTCAAAGTGCGAAACCACGTATCTCAGTTTGCGACGTTGCAAACTTCCTGTCTTATTTCATTTTTTCTTGGGAAAACTTGTCAACGTAATTTCTTGAAAACTTCCTTGATTTTTCTTCTCTGTGAGCAAAATTTGGTATGGACATTTCAAACTATAAAATTGGTTTGTCCCTCTTCAAAAAAATAAAATAGGAGCGGAAATGTTGAAGCACCGCAATGGAGTTACGTGGTTTTGCACTGCTATCGATATACAATGGTGAGACTATAAATCCACTCGTCTATCTCGATTTGCGATGTTGCAGTTTTCCTGTATTAACGTATTATTTCTGTTCGGGGAGCCCATTGCTATAGCTTGAACAACGTTTTGTGAGATTTGTCTGTGCTCTCCTAGGCACTCTTGCAAAAACACAAAACAATATACTGCCACGCTAAGCAAAAACGCCGCATGAGCCTTCAGGCGTCGCCATATTTCCTATAATAACCAACAAATTCACTGGGAAATTCTGAATATTTTTCTTCCAATTTTTCGGACAATTTTGTTCCCAATTTAATCTAAAATATAGGAAAATTCCAAGGAAAAATACGAATAACTTTCTTCAAAAATACAATTGTTGTACACAAATTCAATGTTTTACCCGGGGAAATTTGGCAACTCTTGAATGTTCATACGGCGTTCTCCTTAGTATGGCAGTGCAGGTAGTAGTCAAGGGCCAAAGAACCGTAACTAGGTAAATACATTTTCACCAACTCGAGAAATTGAAGAAAAAACCAAGCGACAGTTCCATTGGCTTTACAGTATCTTGTAAACCTAAAAACCTGACCTGGCGTTATAGACAATGGCGTAGACTGGGTAACCAATTCTTACATACATACCTATAGAGCCTTCAATCACTATAAGTATACCGGGAAAGCAAATTACTCAATTTTTCAAACATTTTCATTGACGTTTCTTTGGTTCTCGACCACAGTGGAAAGTTCCAATGGTCCAGTAAGGTGAGAAAAACCGATCTCGGGTCGAAAATTTCGATAATCCGTTTTCAATGCAGTCATATCGAGCTAAACTGCCGTGCTAAGGAAAAACGCCTTATGAACCCTCAGGCGTGGCCAAATTTCATTTGATAAAACGAGAATTTCCTGATAAACTTATGAAAATTTTCCTTTCAATTTTTCAGATAATTTTATACGCAGTTTCACCAGAAATCGCTGAAACTTTCAAGGGAAAATATTCATAACTTTCCACAAAAATAAACATGTTATTGCAGGAAATTTGGCAACTCTCGAATGTTCATACGGCGTTTTTCCTCAGCACGACAGTATAGTCTGCATGTTCTTTACTACCGCACAGTGGCACCAGCTACTGGAAGAGGTCGGACATAACATTTTTGGACAAAATTTAAAATTTTGATGTCTGCTTTGGCACAAATTCAATTTCAAGGGGTGTTTCTAAAATTAAATGACACGGAATATCAATGAAACCACTCTGAAACTTCTTTGTTTTATATTTTCGAAAATATAAGCTTTCAAAATTTCCAGATTTTGTCTGATTTTTCCAATTGACTCGGTCCATTCTGCCGTGCTAAGGAAAAACGCCGAATGAACCTTCTGCTGTTCCCAAATTTCCTTTGATTAAATACGAATGTGAAGGAAAATTTTTGAATATTTTCCGTTCAATTTCTCAGGGAATTATCTTCGTAATTAGATCTATGTCATCTGAAAATTTCAGGAGAAGATACCTATTCATAACTTTCCTTAAAAAATAAAAATTGTATCGAAAGAAATTTGGCAACTCTCAAATGTTCATACGGCGTTTTTCCTTAGTACGCCAGCACTGTGTGCCGTGCTGGGGAAGAACGCCGTAGGAGTATCCGACACAGTCCCCGGGTAAAACATGTATTTTTGAGGAAAGTTATGAGTACCAGGGCCGGATTTTCCTACTTGCCGCCCCCTTCTCATTCGTTTTGAAACATCAATAAAAACCATCAAGTGAACGTGCCATCGGGGGAGGAGGTTACTCGCGTTGAACACATTTTTTGGGAAAGCCCTGTCAACACCACTAGCAAAAGGTCACGGAACTTTGCGCGAAAGTCAAGTTTCGTAAACCTATCTCTAATGGACAATAAGGCCTTCCATTCATAATAAATGAACGAAAAAATTATGAAAGAACGAACACAAAATTTGGTTGAATGATTTTAACTTCCGCCACCGCGCCGCGCCGACCGCACCGTGTTTGGCGCAATGCGTGAAGTATTCGCGCAGTCTTGTAGGCGCTAGCGTTTTACGCTGACCGCACTGTGTTTGGCGCAATGCGTCAGGTATTCATGCATTCTTGTAGGCGCTATCCGTTTCGCGCTGACCACAATAACCGCGCTGTGTTTGGTGCAATGCGCGAAGTATTCGTGCAGTCTTGTAGGCGCTAATATGTGTTACATGCCGATTGCCGCGCCGAGGGCTTCTCCTTTTCATCTCAAGTCCTCGACATCATTTCTCTTTAAGTCGCGCCGTTCCAGGCCAAATTGTGTGTTTGGTTTCTCTCTTAACTCGACTAATTTAAGGTGCTGTCTCTTGTGACACTGAAAGACGACAAAATTAGAAATTACTATTCTCTCAGGAAATGAGAGATTTTGTGGCCTTTTCTCGTTTGTAATTGTTATTTTCTAAATTCGATTTTTTTTTATACCTACATTTAAAAAAATTGCAAAATTTGCCGCCATGGGCCGCGGCCCATCTGGCTACCCCCTTAATCCGGCCCTGATACTCATTTACCTGTTTTGCCATGAAATTCTCAGATATTTTAGATTAAATTGCGAGCGAAAGTGTCTAAAAAATGGAAGAATGATACTGACAACTTTCCCAATAAATTTGTGGGTATGTTTTCAAAGAAAATTTGGCAACGCCTGAAGGTTCATACGGCGTTCTCTTTCAGTACGGCAGAATACCGCAACAAAGTAAGCGTTTGAAATGGATCGTTTCCAAAAGCGCCGAATAACTTCATCTGAATATTTATTATGCAGTAATTTTATAATGCTTTCAAACTTCAAAGAGTCAATGTTAGGAATTTCTGAGAGTTCTTCGCGCCAAATGATGCAAAATAAACTCTAATTGTTGTTGATAGGTTGTCTCATTTTTCTCAACCAGAATGAGGATCTTTTTACCTTACTCCATCTCATACGGCGCGATCCAAAAGCCGCGCACGATTCCTAGAGCCCCTAATTTTTGCCTCTTTTCCATGGTGGTCCCTTTAAAATTTTGGAGTTCCCAGAAGAAATTTTTTAGACCTAGAAGTACTCAAAACTTTCAAGTCCCTATCTAAATTTAAGTTACAAGGGTACCTACTGCTTGGTGCGCGGTACTTTTGAACCACCCAGCATGACAGGAGCAGAACTTTCGTGACGGAAAAAAGTTCATAGTTTCTTTGTCAATATATATGTGCAATGGACATAATATTATTTAATATCGTTACATCGTTAATAACGTCAATATCGTTCAGGACGGACAAAGAACTGCGTCAATGTTTTACAATAAATCTATCAATGGGCGAAACTTATTAGTGTAAAAGGAATGCTCTCCTCGAAGCTTCCAATGGTATGGCAAGAACTTCAAATTGAAAGTAAACCCTCAGCCATCTTGAGTTTTTGACATTTGTTGGATTATTCTTCAGAGAAATCAATAATTCAAATAAAATGGATTCCTTTCAAAAGAAGTGAACAAGCTTGATTAAAGTGTTTTCAAAACCATGAAGATTTTCTATTTTCTTTCTTGGGCGTTTCTTTACCTACTGTTAGTGCAATTTATTTTATTTGTCTATTTCTTTGGTCCATTTTATTTTTCAGAGGGTAATAAGAGGACTTGGATTTAAAAAAAAAAAAATAAATAAATAAATAAATAGATAAATAAATAAGTAAAACAAAACAGGAGAGGTGAATCATGGTCAAAACAAATCGTGATGTAGTTATTTATTTAATTAATTAATAAAATATAATGTACAAAAATATAAAAACTGACTGGTTATTATTACAACATTTTACAAAATTCAACTTTCGATAATAACTACCTGTACAGCATTCAGCCAAATTATTATCATTCATTCATTCTTTGATTTAGTGATAATTTTTTTTAAAAAAATGTATGCTTTATACCCTATGATTCCATATTTATCTAATTTGTTCTTTTTCTATGAGCAATGCAGCTAAATGCAGAGGGAAGTATTACAATTAGATTTGACTGTTAGAATGATGAGAAAACGATTCATTTAAAAATAAAAACAATGATCGACCAGAAAAACATCTTGGGAGATAAAAATAAAAACACTTCCAAATTTGAGAATGAGTAAAACTAAAAAAAAAAAAAAAGAGATTACAAAAACAAGAAACGATCAAAATATGAGTCAAAAAGGCTTGAAAGCCAAGAGGTGCGTTGACACAATCTGTGATATTCTGCTAATAAATGCAATCAAATGGAGGGAAAAATTGTATAAAAGATTTGTGAATTTATAATATCAATATGATTGATAAGGCAGAAAAATTGACTTTCCTATGATTGAAGGAGTTCAAATATGTTTTGAAATTTTGAACTATTGAACTGAAAGTCCCCTCCTGGTAAAAAATAAACCTAAGACAATTTGATTATTAGATTTTCAAATTTTGCAAGTTTGACTATGATTCATGCACTTTTGATAGGGAAGTGTGAATATTATAACATTTACACAAAAAAAAAAAACAAAAAAAAAAACATAAACACTTGAAAAGGAAAAGAAAGGAAGAAACACCCCCGAAAAAGGATCAAAGAGCAAATTACAAGTGGAAAACAATTAAGGATGAGGTTCCAATATAAGACAGAAAAAAAAGTCACAATTGAATTAGCAAGAGTTGTTCGCTGTGTAAATCTAACTTAATTCACATAGCATAAGGACACCCTGAGACCAGAACCATTGTATTTTGTAAACAGTTCTTTGTACATCACCTACGGAATCTCAAGTATTAATGCAGATATGTATATTAACAAAAATGGAGGGCGTAAGAAATTTGACATGAAAAAACAAAGTAATTTGAAAACTGCCTTTAAAACTAATGGAATTAAAATTTTCACCGCAGGTACTTGAGAGGCTGAATTGAGAATTTTATTTTTGAAATCAGACTTAGAATTTGCAAATCTAAAAGGGCATGGTGTAGATTTAATTAAAATCATTCATAATTTTTTTTCTTTCTTTTCCCTACTATTTTATCATAATTAAAAGGCATAATTATATCTCTCAATTTAATTCCATTACCTCTGACACATAAAAAGAACCAATTCTAGTGTTCCTGTGCTTTCCAAAAATAGTATAAATTAAAATCACTGACTGTTCCTGGATTCAAAAGTAACTCAATAGAATCTTGCCTGTAACTTCGAAACAGACAGATAGATTTAGGTGCTGCGACACTTAGGAAACAAATCAATGTAATAGAGAATTTTCATAGTCTTTTGGGCTAATTTAAGTCAAATTTTATAAATTTTTGGTCTTCAGAATGCTTGTGGCAACATTAATATTGCAGGTATTCAACAGAATTTTGGTAATAATTTCAGAAAGTCTGATTTCGTTGAACAAAGAGCAGACTTAGTACTGGATAAATCCATTAATTGAAAAGAATACCTCAGTAATGGAAATGCAGGAAAAAGAACTGAGACTTAAAAGGCAACCGGAGAGAGATGTTTCTTCATTTACACCCTTGACTTCCTGATCCTTCCTGGAGAAGAAGCAATTAATAATTTACATGATTTTCTGCTCAGCAGTATTAACTCAGATCAACAAGCCTGTAACAAAAAAAAGAGTAAAAATAAATAAATTTAATTAATTATAAGAATATGGTCATTATTGATGGATCGACAGAACAATTTTTTTTTCTTAAGACCCAGATATACCTGCAAGTTACAAGCACTTGTTGAAAGTGAAACACCGAGAGTCAAAGAGGATTTCCATAACTCGGCGTCAAGCGATCGAAATCCTGGTTTCCTATTGGTGTTTCACTTTCAACAAGCGCTTGTAAATCGCAGGAGTATCTACTGCTTAAGTTCAAAATAATGGAGCCAGGACTATCACAGAATTTAAAAAATAAAATCCCTGACACAAGTTGGTAAAATTCGCTGAAGCTGAATGTACGCCAAATTGTTCAGAAGACATAGTTTGAAATAAATTTCCAGTAAAATTTGTTATGCCAAATGTCAAACCCATTCTAAAAAGCAAATAAAGGTGATTTGAAAATTCTTCCCTGACCCTCTTGTCATTTTCTCAGTAATTTCCAGGTTTTCCTTGACTTTTTAAAATTCTCTGATATTTTCCTGGTTTTTCTCTGGTTTTCCTGGTATTCCTTGACTGTGGCAACTCAGATAAAATAAGAAATGCTGTACTTGATTTTTCAAACTCCACCCTCTTGTAGGGCTCTTTTCGACCCCTCCCTCCCCTCAGAGCGTTACATAGGTATTTCATGAATGGCTCCTAAGCCTACTTTCGGACGTATCTATCAATCTACAAAACCCTCCTTTCCTTTCAAGAAAACATAAAAAAAAAATTTCCAGCGGCAAATAACATTAACAATACACTAAGTGCTACTTCCATACTTTCTGGTGCTACCAAAGCACTTTGCCCATCTTGCATCTTCGCAGCCTAGTGATGGCGATTCTTGGATCAATCTTCCAAAAGATCGATTCTCTGGGACCAAAAATCAATAAGATCGAATCAATTCTTTCACGCTGATCTTTCGCATGGATGGATTCATTTCACATGGAATCGCATAAAAAAAATCGGTCTCTAATATTCCTGACTTTCGCATTTCTTTTCTCCCAGAACTAAATAACTTGATTGAAAATGAGGAAGATTGTATACAAACATATTTCCTGAGAGCTCATTGCACATGATCCTGCTCAATTTCCTTCCTTTGCGTCCCGATCTTCTACAATTATTTTCAGCTCTTTTGGCCTATACAGGAAAGACCATCTCAAATTGGATCAGGAAGATCGGATCGGAAGGATCAGAACGTCATATCACAATTCCATCGAAGAAAAATAAAAATACTGGTTACGATTATGAAACTGAAAAATCGGCAGAAGCTCCTTCAAGTAAAACATTATTGATTTAAAAAAAACAACAAAAATGTGACATCCGCTATTTTTACTGAAAACACTTTTTTATGCATGAAACAATGTCTTCAGTAAGAGTAAGGCTGGTGAAACGACTAAAATGAACCAAAAGTATGTCAATGCTGAGTCAAAAATCAAATTGAACAAAAAACTAAACCGTTTGTAACTTCTACATCAAAAATAAGGAACCAATTATAAAATCAATTAAAAACTCATCAATTCTGGCAAAACGGTCCTGATACGTATCAATTGAGTATCAGCTGCAGCCTGCGGCTGGTGCACGGGCAGTTATCACAAGTGCATTAGAATCTCTGCAATGTCCTGCCACACCAGCCTGGGAGAACACTGAGAACAGTGGATTCTCATATCCGCTGTTTTTACAAATAACATGATTTTCAGTTCATACCTTGCCAAAAAATTACGCTGGAAGTCTGAAACTTTGCACAAGCATTCTTAAGGGCTCCAGAATTCGAAAAAAGCATTTGCCCTAAAAATGGCGGATGTCAGCGACCGCAATTGTTACATATATGTACTCATATATTACTGGCTAATTTTGAAATTTCCGATCGGCAGGAAAGATTGGATCGTTGAATCAATCTTTTGAACGATCGATTCTTTGGACCCGATCTTTGAATCAGATCGATTCTCCCTAGCCGTTTCAGATCGATCTTGGAGAATCGATTCTCATCCCAAGAATCGCCATCACTATCACAGCCTACAACTGCTACAAATTGTTGGACCACAAAGAGTCTGTGACCCTGGGTAAGTATGAAGAAAAATAATACTAACCTTAACAGTGGTAGTGGAGGATGGTTCATACCCTCCTTTTGATTTCATTTGATTTTCGATGACTTTGTAGACACCAGAGTTCCCGACGTCCATTGATCCTATATGGCCAGTATGCTGAAAATTGGTTGGAGCTCCAATCATCGATCGGTCTATCCGCACTCTTCCTCTTTGCCTCTTTTGATGCCTTGACCTCTGAAATCCCAAAGCAAAAGAATTTACAAAAATCACAAAACATCGTTATTTTTAGGTACTTACTTGCATGAACACAGAGTTCAGTGCTAAAGCTGTAGAAATTGTAACAAGAAGTTAAATTTACAATCATTCAAGCTCAAAACCCAATAATTCATAGAATGCTCTTGTTGCACGCATCTACAAAAATCATGAAACATCACTTATTTTAGGTACTTACTTGCACGAACACAGAATTCAGTGCTAAAGCTGTAGAAATTGTAACAAGAAGTTAAATATACAATCATTCAAGCTCAAAACCCAATAATTCATAGAATGCTTCTGTTGCACGCAACAGGTATGGTTAACCAGGAGGAAAGTGCGGAGGTAAAAGCGGACAAAAATCATATTAAACGAATCAGAAATGTCTGAAATGCACCGCAACTCACATAATCTGCAGAGTACATATAAATGTTTTCAAAGGCATTTTTTCACATGCATTTTTCTGCATGGTCGTCAACAAACACTTTGCCCAGATAGAGAAGTAGCAAAACCAAACCTACTCTAACAAACGTCTCGCTAACTGTTACCAACAAACTTTCTTCACAAATGATTTCTATCATTTCAGGACGTTTTCTTTCGATTATTCAAAATGCAAAATGACAAGATAAAGTGCTTTAAATAGATTAAAATCACACAAGAGGAAGGTAGAGAACAGTTTGCTAGACCGTTTATCTAGAGCTTGCGTCAGATAATTTAACACTTGTTCGATTAAGACTGTGACTTGCAATAGACTGTTTTAAGTGACTGCATTACCTTAAAACTGAACAACTTGCAATGAGTTGAGCACTAAACCTGAATTCAGCGGTTTATATGATTTTGTCTTTCACAGAAATTAATAATTATTAATTTTTGAAAACTATACTTTTAATAGTTCCTTAACCTCGTCAACTCAAAGCAAGTATAGCGGGCTGATTATTGAAGGTTTAACGCGGTCTGATAAGACATTGAAATACGATATATTGCATGGGTAAGATAGGGATATCCATGGCAAAAGTCCGCAATCACATATCTCGTTTGCTGTGTCTGAAAATCTCCACCTCTATGTTATTAATTTAAGGGAGAACAAATTAGCATCATTCCTTGAAGTTTTTGCAGAATTTTCTTTGCACGGAGAAGGATGGTCACGGCAGTTTTAAAGAATTGCCGTTGAGTAGACAGTTTTCCGTTTAAAAATTAAAGTATGACAGGAAGTCTGCGACGTTGCAAACCGAGTTATATGATTGCTGACTTACACCGTTGATATGTCTTGTCTTATCGTGCCGACATAGTTTCCATAAGTAACTGAGCCACAGAAGAGCAAGATTACGACAAATCTAACTAACTTACCTGCTGGGTTTCTTGAATACAGCATGAGAACCACTGTAGCCACACTTCTCCTGCCGCCATATTGTTTGAGTGGCTCGAACTAGGCATTTGTCAACACTACAACTTTATTTTTGCATCAGCAGTCACACATATGTCATTGACAGTCAACTGAAACAAAAAAGTAAATTAAAGTCAATAGGGTGCATCTAGGACCCAGATTAGAGCAACTTTCTCCTTCTTCATCATGACCTTTGACCTGTTGAGGGGTGACAGACTATGCACCAGATAATTGCTGGTAAATTTTTGTTCCTTGAGGATGAACTGAATTGCTACAAAATTTTGTAGAAGGATAAAATAATAAGCTTTTTACTTAAATATATACCTACTTATTATATCACACAATAGCCGTCTACTCCTAAAACTCTAGATTGAATACACAATTCCAAAATGGAAAACCAATAGGTGATCAATGATTAATGAAAGATAGAGCTTCCACAGCGTGTGTTTAGACAAACATCAAAATATTGTTTATGTCACCACTAATTAGTGATCCCATCTGGCTGCATATATAACCTGCTAAGAGGTGCTAATTCAGAGCTAATTAGAGATTGACGTTTGTCTCAACACATGATGCGAGAGCTCTGGACATGGTTACGATGAGCAAATTCTACTGAGAGAAACAGATGATACAATCGGTAAACCTATCGTTCATGATAGAAATAAATTACAAGATCATCTGCAAACTAAGTTCCTGAGAAAAGTGTGGCAGAGAAATTTAAAAGTCCTTCAGCTATTGAGAGCCCTACATTAGACTGGGTATCTTGCTCAGCGTTGAAATGGGCCAGTTTACTGCTTTCAGTCAAATACATAAGCAGGGATAGGTTGCCGCATGCTTTAAAGAAACTTGAGAGATTATTATTTGAGCAGGTTTTGGAGTGATTTACTGCCAATCATGCTGCCATCTTTCCAAAGGACCAAAATAAGAATTCCAAGGATACTGCTTGACATTGATAGAAAGTCGGCCACTTGCGGTGTGATAAGTAATCACGAAACAAGAAAAGTTACAGGAATCAATAATTACACCTAAAAAGGACAAGAGCAGGAAAAAAGTGGAATAATGTGTCCAAGATTGGCATGTAAAACAGCTTTGTGAATACTCAAAGCGGAACACCTTGCACCTAATCCGTTTCAATGCCATCAGTTCAAACCAAAATTGGTTGACCCAAAGGCAAGCAACCAATAAAGAGGTTGAAAAAAACTTTTGAATTATTAAAAAGTGGGTTCTGGGCAACTTACCTCAGTCTTTGTATGAACTTTGGTCAGTGAAAGTAAATACAGGAATGCTTGTTCAGAAATGCTAGGTCCTTGTCCTGATAGGTTAGAAAAAGTTGGCGAGTGACTATTATCACGAGGGAAAAGCATACACGGGATACGAAATGGCACAAAAGAGTTTTGACTATCACAAATTGCTAATAAATAAACAATCGGGACTATCGTGCAGATTCATAACTAGAAAAGAGAATTTCAAATAAGGCACTTGGAGAAAAATTCAGCATACTTCTGGTCGGTGACTCAAATCAAAACAATGCGCAGAACATCAACGAACAGCCTCGACTTCGAGATCCACCAAACCAACGTCATCTGCCAATCAAAAAGGAGCAGTTCGTCCCGCGAAAATTCAAATATGACATGCAGTGGGACGGCTTGGAGTGCTTCCTCACATTATAATCATTGATTATACTTCAATGAAAAAACAATTGGATTATTTGAGGCCGTGGCACTAAAACCGAACTGGTATAATTTTAAATTATTCTGAAATTTTGTAACATTTTTTTTAGTGCAGTAAAATCCGGGTATTCGCGGTCGTCTGAAACATGCTTGTATATTTTGTTTTCATGGATCATGAAAATCATACTCTAAAAGTAAAAATTCTCAGGGAAATCCGTGAATATTTTTCCTCCAATTTTTCAGAAAATTTTAATCATAATCAGATCTAAATTATCAGAAAATTTCAAGAGAAATTATTTATAACTCTCTTTAAAAATAAACATTTTATCAGAGGAAATTTGGCATAACCCTCGAATGTTCATACGGCGCACAGTGGATCGAATCAATAGGAGAGGTCGGACAAAATTTGGAAACTTTGAAAGCTCATAACTCCGTTCATACAAAACTTTGAGATTTTAAAAGTGGTTCCATTTGTTTTCTCGTGAAATTTTCTTTTGGAGGCACCCCTCAAAGTTTAAAATCTGACGGAATAAACATCAAATTTTGCAGTTTTAGGTAAAAATTTCATGTCCAACCTTTCTGATTGACTCGATTCACTGTGCGGCGTTTTTCCTTAACCGCAGTATTATTCATGGTACCTCTGAGCGGGGCGATTATTGAAACTGATGGACAAAGCTATAGACAAAGAAGACATAGGGAGTATGGAGCGATCTTATTGGTTGACATGATCGGTTCTTATAGACTAAGGAAGAAAATGATGGACTAACTGTCGGGTCTTTAGTGGGTTGCCGTTAGTTAGTCCATTACCTACCTCCTATGTCCATTGCCACCACCTGCTTCCACCAATAGGATCCCTCCAAATCCCTTTTGTCGTCTTTGTCTATAGCTTTGTCTATCAGTTTCAATAATCGGCCCGCTGCTGGTCTCGCAATCACCGCCAATAACCCGGGTTCAGAGGGGAGAGGGGCGTCACGAACAATCAGTTTCACTTTCTTTTTCTTATTTGTAAATGAATTAGGTTTATGAACCAATAATTGTCAGTGTTAGTAGCGATTTTACTAGTATCTATGCACTTATTTAAAATCCGCTCTCCAATGCTACATTCCTTGAAGCGTGACGTAGAATTATAAAGCATAGCAGAATCTACCGTGCTAGACAATTAAAATGTAGATAATGTCAGTCTCACGGTTTTCTTATCTGAGACGTCTTCTGCAGTCTCCCCCCGGACCCCGTGCCGCTACACCACTTCCCCCGCTACCATTTCCACTACCCCTGCCATCACGTAATATTGACGTAAATACACAATCAATGATAATTGTGTCTTAAATTAATCGTTGGGTATTGTTTAGCTTTGATTGCTAAAGTGGATGGACAACTTAGATCTATATCACAGGTGAAACTCCCAAACTACGCGTATCTCGTTTTGCGACGTTGCAGACTTCCTGTCATACTTTATATTTTAGATGGGAAACTACTCAAAGTCAATTCTTGAAAACTTCAGTGATTTTTCTCTTCCGTGCGAAGCAAATTCTGAAAAAAATTTACGAAATGATGAAGGCTTGTTAGATCCTGTAAAAAATGAAATAGGAGCGGAAACACCGCGAACGAGTTGCGTGGTTTTGGGAGATTCACTTTCGATATGTCACGCGAATAGTGTATAGATGGCCAAATTGCGAAACCACGTATCTCAATCGCGGTGTTTTAAAATGTATCCTCCTATTTTATGTTGTTTTAGCACCTAGGATGTCAAAAATGTGTCTGGTGATCCTAAGATGCTGCCTTAGTTGCCCACACAGTTGTATATGTTGCGAATGTAAAGTTAACTGCGAGGGCAGTAGGTAAAGGCAGCATCTTGGGATCACCAGACACCTTTTTGACATCCCAGGTGATAAAATAACATATTATTTTTTTCTGTGAATATTTGACAAATTCGGGAAAAATCGAACTATTTTTCAAGAGGGAATCAAAAGCAATAGTATTACAATGCCAAATGCAATGCTGTCTTCCATGGTTTGAAATATACAAGATTTAGATACATTGAATTTGGCTAAAAATACTCTTTACGTAAAAAATTTAGGTTGTTTCCTTGACGAAGGGACGTAACTCCATTCCAATGTTGCAAAATTGACTCAAAAAGATGAAATTTATTTACAAGAACATAACTATGCAATATTTGTCCAAAATTTTACTATTAATAGCTAGTATGATCAGGAGCAAAATAGTACCTAATATTTTTAATCAGAGACGCCTAATTGTTTCGTAGTTACCAACAAAACTGAATTTGGAAATTTTGCGATGTTGAAATTGAATTACGTTGTTTCGAATGGAAAACGACGATATTTGCCTTTTCTCCCATTCATATACATACTCATTACGTTTCGCCAATTTTGTTTGGATTCCAAGGAGATAGTATTATTTATCTGTCTATGAGTGAAGATGCCCAGTTGCGGCCTTGAACTTAATGGAGCGGATATACTATTGATATTTTGCTCAAATTTCGAATATTTCGGGGGAATTCGCCTATTTTTCTGAACTTTAGTCCCATGTCTCCGCTCCTTATCCATTCGCTCAGGTGACCTTTGAGTTCCTACGGCAGAATCTTAACGAACAACTGATCTGATCTGACCCCCAATTCACAAAAAGAGTGCAGGCCCACCTGTTGTAGTCGTAGTGCATTGTCGGCGCTTAGAACACAACTTACGATACAGTTTCGAGTTTGATTTCGTCTCCTCGTCGTTGGTTTTCTATTTTCGGCGCGGGCTCCGAGTGCCTCGATACAGCTATTCTATGTCTGTGCTTTATTATTATTATTAATTTAATTTTTAAAATTAATTTAACTATTATTTTTCATGTAAGTATCGAGTGAAGAAAGTGCCCTTGTAGGTCTCCTAACAGCGAAAAAGATGTCGACCACCCTGGGAATCCGCCGACTGAATTCCAAGTAAGGAAATAACATCGTATGTAATATTACTACCATCCCAATTTTTAGTCCATCATCTCTGTCTTTTTAGAAAGATGGAAAAAATACAGCTTAATACAAAAATATCCGAAAAATTGAAATTTCCGAAATCATAGAAGAGTCAAAAACAAAATTAGCAAATAAGAAACTTGTTCATGAATAATGAGAAATGAATTGATGAATAAAAAAATAAATTGAAAATTAAAGGTATAAGAAGGAATTTTGCATAGGTCACTCAAATATGTTTATTTTTTTTTTTTTTTCAGTTTCTTTGGTGTCTCTTTGCAATTGCTCACAGTTTTTTCTCCTTTTCAGTTGTTGCCCTAGTAGTAGTAGAAACCGATATTAGTTTCCAAATTGAAGTGAAATATTTAAAAAAAGTTGCTCCTTTTGATCGGTAAGATCAAAAATAGTCCCTTCCCTTTTGCCACTGCTCAGGTAACAAAGCTACGTTAAAAATTCCAAATTGAGGTCACACAATAATATGAAGTCAATAATGTCATATCAAGGAACAATGTCGTGCGACAATTGAAATAATTCTAAATTTTTGCCGATAAACTATATTTATTTTTCAGAAATCTTATGAAAATGTGCTCTTAAAATTGTGAAGTATCTCACTTTCAATGAAAACATTTGGTTACGGCTAAATTTTTACATTGCCTTAGAATATTTTAGGATGCAACTATTTCGACTCGGAGGATATGTTTTGCCTACCCACTCAATTGAAGGAAAACCACATTTTGATACTCATTTGACACCGAGGTCTCATCATTTCAGAACATTAGGTTTGCTTTCATTTCGAAAAGGTGCAACTATATTAACTAAAGGGGTGTAGTTTTGCCTACTTGCCCAATTGAAGGAAAACCACACTCTGTCCCTAACTTGACACCAAACAATCAGCGTTTTGGAGAATTTAGATCGCCTTCATTTCGAAAGGATGCGACTATTTCGACTCGCAGGATACATTTTTGCCTACGCACACTCAATTAAAGGAAAACTGCACTATGCTACTCACTAGAAATTACTCTCTGTGACACGGTACATTGTTCTCCTTCATTCAACAGTACGGACAAAAACAGCTCCCAAGTTTCGAAATAGTTCCATCCTCGAAAATGTTTGCAATGTGCGTGCGTTCTTCTTCATTTTTCCCCAGAAAAATATAACAACAGCGAACATTTTTAAACTTCGCAATCAAGATCAAAGTTTTGCAACTTTAACCATTAATATGCGTAAATTTAACAGCACAATGTAAGCTGGTCTGCATTACTTATACGCAACAAGTAATTTCTATTGCTGGATAACAATAAAAACCCTATTTGCACAGGGAATCAAATAACATAAAACTAAAATCTAACTACTAATGACGTTGGTTTCGTAAGGAACCAGAAATAGTAGTTCCTTTTTGCATAATCTACTTTGATGAGAGAAAACTCTGTATAAATATTTGGACGTCGACAAATCCCCTCAATAAAATGTTCATTTTTTAAAAGAAGAGTTGTGAATACCTCTATTTAAGATTTCTAGAGACGTTAGGTAAACTTTGCAAATGAAAGCCTCTGATATTTTCGTCAAGGAAAAGAGTAATTTTCCCTGAAAACTGCCATTTATCTAAGGAAATGTGGTAACATCTGGCTGGGAGGTTCATATCGATGGTGAAACTGCAGAAATATGTATCTCGGTTTGCAGCGTTACTGACTTCCTGTCATACCTACTTTATTTCCTATGTGAAAAACTACTGAACGTCATTTTCTGAAAATGTCAGTGATTTTTCTTCCCTGTGAAGAATATTCTATGAAAACTTCAAACCATGACGTTAATTTTATTTCCTTTTAAAAAATAAGATAGTAGCGGAAAGAGGCATCCTAACCAAGATACGCATTTTTGCAGTTTCACCGCCAATATGGCGTTTTTCCTTAAAACAGCAATAATACTTGCTAATGAAGAACACCGTGTGAACATTCGAGAGTCGCCAAATTTCCTTCGATAATATGTGCATTTTTGAGGAAAGTTAAGAATATTTTTCCTTGAAATTTTCAGAATCTTTACGTAAAGTCGTGAACTAAATTATCTGAAACATTGGGAGGAAAATATTCATAAATTTACCAGGATTTTCGCGTTTTATGATAGGAAATTTGGCAATGTCTGAAGTTTCATACGGCGTTTTTCCATAGCATGGCAGAATACAGAGCAAATGATCCACAACTGATTGAGGCTGATTATGAGAGGGAGATGATTCTCACTTTCATTAGTAAAACGTGGAGAGTTTATACCGTCTAGGAACTATGCATGACGGTGGCTGCTGATAACCTAGACATTGGTTTTTGAATGTTTAATTATTTTATCGCCAAGCTTGATGACCGCATACGCGTACCTCGTTCGCTTTCAACCGTTCACGTGTCGTCGCGATACAATGTTCGGATCATTTGCTCTTTGAATCGAATCAACACAAATGCGACTCAACTTTATCGCACGGTGAATGTGCTGATTATTGCCATGTGTTCCGGGTCCCTCTGTTTACGACTCAAGATTTTTACAATCGGGAAGTGAAACAACAACGATAACTGAAACATTCACTCCATTTTTTTCCTGTGCATTGGTAAAAATAAACATGGGAATATGGGTCTTTAGTATAAAAGAGATACGAGCCTATTGACAATGATTTCAGATTCCTCACGATTACTAAATAATCAGACGGAAATCACGTTAAAGTCATAAAAAATGTCAAAAATACACCTCGAAACGCACAATTATCTTATCCTGCATCGCATATTTTCAAATATGTTGCGTCCGCGGACACTGAAAATCAAGATTGCCTACAAAGCAATGTAAAAAAATTTTAACTTAAAAAAAGCAGGCAATTTCGCATACTGATTTCTATTTTCCCAACTTGTAAGTTTCATTAAAATTGACTGTCAACACAGCCGGGAGCAGCGGGGGCTGCGTATGTCAGCCACACAGGGGAGACTTATCTGAGATAAATATCATTGGCAGCAATGATAGGAGCATTGCAATTTTATGCATCGCGCCATCGCGCCTTCAATTTAACAGATATGCAACACGGATATCCATCAAGTACGAATAGTTGTATCTCTGCGCCGTCATCAACGCGCACCCTTTCCTTTGCTTTATTTTCATGGCGTGTTGTTCCCCATTGTCATATTTTGTCAAGGTCTGAGTGAGCAACACAGCCAGAAGTAGGAAATACGTGGTTGGACCTCATTTTAACTTTCTACCAAATATGAGCAACACATCATCAACAGCCTATTGCGAGTTCACGCCTTGCGCCATCGCGCCTTCAATTTTGTAGCGGCCCAATGAAGAGTCACAAAATAAAAATAAACTCTCTATTATCAAATTAGATTTTTAATAGCGGTCCACGCTTAGAATGATGAGTCAACTAAAAAGCTGCAGAAATGCAGAATTAGAGACCTTGTGCCACTCAGTGTCCTTACAGGGTCACTGGGGTCAATGTTACCTTATTCGTTCATGTTTACTTTTTGCTTTGCATATTTTTAAAACTCCAACTGGGTTGAAAAATTACTTCATGAGACGGTAATAAACATGTTTTCCGTCACATAAGTTTTGCTATTTTAGGTTATTAAGTCTCCATTCAGAACGATTTGCCGAGAAGCTTTGCAATTTTGATCTAATATCATTATCAATCTAGAGAGTTCTTTCTTTTTTTTCAAGCCACCAGCTGATGTTTAGACTAACGGTTATTGCTTCATTAATTCTTCAAGAGTCTATATTATCTTTTCACGCACCCCCAATCAATTTCTCACAAAATCGCTTACATATCACTTCATCACGCCCGCGCCACGCTTTCCGATCATAAAAAAAATCGCCATCCAAAAGGCCACATTTGCCAGTGCGTGCTCAAATTAGTTGAGTTTCTCAATGCAGTCAGAAGTCATGCGATCACAAATTAGGCTCCTCTGATAGACTGATAAACCTTTGACTCGCAGATTATCTAGCTAGAAGTTGAGCTTACAATCCCGATAAAGGCAAAAGGCTTACATTATAAATACTTTACAACCGTCGAGAAATTCACTTTGTTTCGGGAGTGCCTGGTATAGTGTCCTCCTGCGCAAGAATATCTTCATTGGTCCCTTAGAAAAAGGTAATCGACCTTTGTTTTTTTTTCCTTCACGTTGCCTTTACGGTGCCCGGGTTTTTCAAGTCTCCTTTAATAGTTCATAATGGTTTATTTATTTTTGATTCCTTCAAATAACGTCTTATAATAGTAAACAATTACCATCATTAATGTTGCCGTGAAAAAATGAATTTATAAGTTGTTTTCACATAGTACTTCGTGCCCATTTTTTATGTTCGCATAAACAATTTCTTTACTTAAAATAGTTTTTTTTGTGCGTTAGTCCTTCCTAGCTACATTTATTCGTTCACTCATTCTAATTTCAGTCTTGATAGCTCATTTCAACAATAAGGATTTATTGTATTTTTACTCTTTTAAAATAATTAATCCATCGGTGTTCCAGTTAAAAAATGAAAATACCTTCAAATACGATGAAGGGTTAACTGAAATTCCTTAAATATCGATGTATCACATCATGATTTATAAACATTTGTCATAAGGCTTGCGAATTTTAGCATATATTTCCAAGGTGTAAGATTTTAGACCCGTATTTCTTTTCTTGCAAAAAAAATTACTATGGATATATGCTGTATATCTATAGATTTATGGGGTAGGGCAAGTAAAAAAATCTACTTTTTTATTTTAAAATTCTATAGGGGGGAGATTTGCGCCCTAGTATCAAACGAATGTGTGCCAAAGCGTTCCCCGGGGGGAAAAAAATCGGGTGCCCTCAAATTTCGTCAAAAAATAATAAAGTTTAAGCCCCATTTGCCGATTCCATCGACAAAAAGGCTGCGTTCTTCACCATGCCTTGCCATTTTCCCTTTTCGTCCATGCATAAACATCGGTTGGAATTTTAACATATACAGGCTAATCCAATTACATCCGTTATTTCACAGGTATGCTAGTGGTAGTATCTCCGAAAAAATGGCAATGCTACAAAAGAATTCAGCCGAAGTGGTCAGACATCTGGGATTGGTCGGCAATGCAAGTCTCCCACGGTTGATCTCGACGACAGTCAGCTTGAGCGAACCGGCCGTACCCAAAGCAGCTACTTCCAAAGAGGTCTTCGAGAGGGAGTACAAATCTACCGCTCACAATTATGACCCACTTCCTGTCGCCATCTCCAAAGGAGAAGGTAAATACCTGTTTCAATCTAATTGAAAAATGATCTAAAAATATATCTTTCAGAATGAGTTTTTCAAACTTACCACTAGTCGACACGCATTCTTCTAAGGCAATTCTGATTACAAATGCAACTAATTTTATCTCACAAAGTTTATTACTTGATTATAGGAAAATTAGGTAAAGATATGAACGCACGGGTTGATTAGTGATTTGAGAGTTTTAGCGTCAAGCTTACAGCCATACCAAAACCATTCGAAGATTTGGTGAGCTATAAAAATGCCTTCAATTATTAGGATAGGCAAACATCACGTAATGCGCAAATAGTTGCGCTTCTATCACCACCGTTAAATAGCTTTCTCTTGCGAGTGGCAATCTCGAGTCTCCTTCAAAGGTCTTCTTCTTACATGTGGCTCAACAAAACTGCCGTATCTCCTCGAAACGTTATTTGGAATTATTTGGAAAAAATTTTTATTGAGCAATGTTTAAAAAAGTTTAATTACATTTTATTTCTTCAAAAGAGAATCTTAAAAAAACACCTTGAAATATTCTGTTAAAGTTTTTGAATGCATGAAGTAAAGTCGCAGAAAAAGTTCAGTTAGTTAGGTTTCTATAATTTAAAAAAAAAAAAAAAAAAAAAAAAAAAAAAAAAAAAAAAAAAAAAAAAAAAATATCTTTCATAAAACTTAAACATTATCAGAAAAGCAATGATGTCGTCTTACAAAAACCTCGCTGGTTTGGAAAGGAATTGATCAGAAAAGCAATGATAACGTCATCAAGGGATTCTCCGATGACGTCATTGATGACGTCATTCTGGCTTTGCCTTTGACGTTTTTTGACTGATTAATTGAAAATTTTCAGGCGTATACATGTGGGACGTGGATGGGAAAAAATACCTGGACTTTTTCGCGGGATACGCGACTCTGTCCCATGGTCATTGCCATCCCACCATCGTGGAGGCTATGCGGAAGCAGGTTGGAATCCTGCATCACACCTCGCGAGCCATCTACCACGACAAAATGTACGAGTTTGCCGAGTACATCACCAAGAAATTCAACTTCGACAAAGTCCTCACCATGAACACCGGTAAGGAAACAACACACCCTCATGATATTAGCCCAGGGGACCAGACAAGCTACGAAGTTGAGCATTCTAATACATGCCTCTTAACCAAAATTTCGCGAATAATCCCATATCTTAGTTAGGAGTTAATTTCAGTGATTTCACAGCAAGAATCGAGTTCAACGTGAAATTTTTGTCAAGGAAGGTGTATCAGAATGCTTGAATTCGCACTTTGTCTAGTGGTCCATTGAAATCGGTCAATCCGTCACTCCCAACCAATGCCTTGAATGCAGTCTCCTGAATCAGTCTGATCACAGTGAGGCCTTGTGAGCCCCCGAAATTTCAGGCTAGACTCTTGATGCAGATATCGATGGTCAAAATCTAAAACCACGTATATTCATTGCGGTATTTCAAACTTCCCGATCATACTTTATTTTTTAGAGAGAAACAAGCCATTTTATGGTTTTTAAGTCAAAAAGTTGCTTATTCTTCTTGTTAAAAAATGAAACGGAAGGAAATCAGAGAATGTTACCGATAATATGTGACATGACCTCATAAAAGAGGTGCATCGATAGGATCCGTTTTAGGGCCCACTCTGATTTTCTCAACTCTACGACTTTTTGCTCATTTAAGATTTGTATTAAACGAAATTCATCACAATTTGGTCAGTTTGGGTCTCTTTCCAGGGTCTAATACTGGCCTGAAAATGGGTCTGAAGGCCGATTCTGGCAATTTCAACATTCGACCACATTCAAACCCACGAAACCCGCATTTTTCGGCAAAATCGGCGGTCTAACCCATGTTTAGGCCAGAATCAGGTACGAGAAGAGACTAAAAAAGACCAAATCCTGACGCATTCCGTAGAATATAGACCATCAATGCGCAAAAAATCGTAAAGTTGAGGAAATTCAAGGTAGGCTCAAAAACGGGCCTTCAAATACTGCCGTGCTTATGAAGTACGCCGTATGAACATTCGAGAGTTGCCAAATTTCCTCAGGTAAAATGTTAATTGTTAAGGAAAATTATCAATATTTTTTGTTGAAATTTTCAGACTCTTTAGATCAAATTACAAACAAAATTAACTGAGAGATTGGAAGAAAAATATTCACAAGTTTTCTTGAAAATTAGTGATTTGTCAAAGGAAAGGCAACGCCTGAAGGCACATACGGCGTTTTTTTTTCTTTTTTTTTCTTTTTTTTCTTTTTTTTCTTTTTTTTTTATCATGGCAGAATGCGATACGTTTGGTATTTAAATGGAGATGCCCCCTAGATAATAGGCAAAGCGAAACACTGAAATCTAGCAAGCGAAACGAGTGGTGCGCATTTTGATTGACACTGCAGTACTTTGCGCCGAGCTTTAAGACTGCGTCCTCGGTTTTCAGGTGCCGAAGGTGGCGAGACAGCGGTGAAGTTGGCCCGGAAATGGGGCTACCGGGTAAAGAAAATCCCTGAAAACAAAGCGAAGACGATTTTCGCGCACGGTAACTTCTGGGGTCGAACCATCGCCGCCATTTCCAGCTCGAGCAGCCCGACCAGCAAGGACGAGTTTGGACCGCACGTCCCAGAATTTCACAACATCCCTTACAACGACATCCCCGCGCTCGAGGTTAGTGAACCATTTTCAAAGACACGAAAAGACTCACATAGACTGCCATGCTACATTGGAAAAAAAACATATTGGATCTAGAGTCCAGATTCTTGAAAACATTGACAAGAAAAAATACTCTCGATTCAATCAGATTTAAGCTTGGATCAAAAGGAAATCTGCTCAAATTAAGAGGCTTGGCTCTTGATTTAAGCAAAAATCCGATTGAATCAAGAGTATTTATTCTTGTCCATGTTTTTAAGAGTCTGGACTCTAGATCCGATGTGTTCTTTTTTTTCAGTGTAAGAAAAAACGCCGTATAAGCCTCCGGACGTTGCCAATCTCTTTCTGATAAAATAAAAATTTCCAGGGAAATTCGTGGACACTTTTCCTCCAAATTTTCAAAAAATTTATCCCGCGATTTAATCTACAGCATTTAAAAATTTTAATGAAAATTATTCATACATCTTCTAAGAAATTACAATGTTTCATAAACGGTAATTTGGCAACATTCGGATGTTCATACGGCGTTATTCCTCAGCAGGGTAGTATTTAGAGGGGGGGGGGGTCTGAAAGTAAGTGACATGTAGATGAACAAGGGGGAGGGAGGAGTCAAAAAGTCGGGAAAAATAGGTGACGTAATTATTTATGGACGGTTTCCATAGGGAGAGTATATGAACAATTGAACATGTCGAAATGTGGAGCTCTTATGGCAGAAAAAGGCAGCGAACCTTCCCACACGAAAAACACTAGAATAACTTCGCTACCAATTTTTACATTTAAATCTCAAACCAGCGATAGACGATGGAGACAACTTATAATCCCTATAAATCTACAATACCAGAGACTTTAACGATGGACTAAGAAAACTAACCTTCAAATTATCCATGAATCGCGGCTTTTTTTGGCCTTTTTTAAAGTTTCAGCTTTCATTTCAGAAAAATACGAAGGTAGTAATAGTCCAAAATCAATTTTCATCAAGTAAGCAGTCCAAAAGAACAGAACGAACAATCACAATAATACGATTATATGCAAAATCCTGTACAGAAAAATGAAACAAATCTCCTGTTTTTCAAAGATGGGACTTACCTCTCCTCAAGCTGTTTCTTTTTTATGAAAATACTAATGTAAGTATTTTTTCCCACAAATTAACAGCGGGCTGATTATTAAAATTGATAGACAAAGCTATAGACAGAGGAAAAATGGAGCACTCCTCTTGCTTGAAACGGGTGGAGGAAAATCAAAATCATTGATTATATACGGTCTCTCATAGGCTTTCACCAGAGCGACTCTTACTTACCTTCCGTTTTCAGGATAGCTACATTTTCTTTTCGTTTTCTTAGTCGATCAATTACCATGATTAACTCCTCCTGCACAATGGTCTTGAAGCAAAAAAAAAGTTGACAAAAATATACCCAAAAAGGATCGCAGGGAGTGAGTTTATGGCACGTGTGGACTTCAAATCGCGAAAAATCAAAATCTTGGCTGATCCTAATTTCGAGATATCGCAATTTGAAATATTTTAGTTAACGCAAGTTTTCTATTGATTTTTATCCTTTTTTTTAATCCGTTGCCCTTCTGATATAAGGGCGTAACTACAATATGCAGCAAACCCTGTCGTCCATACAATTCAATGCCTTACTAGGCTCATCTCAATGTGTAGTTATGCCCTTATGTCAGCCAAGCGACGAATTATTTGTCCATTGATCGATGTTGATCGGTTCACGTTTTTATTTTTCGTTCGATTCATGTCGATCGAATACATACTCTCTTGTTACATGCAGACTACCTATCATACTCTTTGTTTTAACTGTACAATTCGCCTTCTGCTACGTCTGTAGCGATTGTTGTTACCAATATGTCGTGCTGATTTCAGCTCATTGCATACTTGACTCTCTGAGGGAGTTTTATGAGCGAAAGCCATTCGCCTTCAGCTGCGTCTGCAGCAATTGTTGTTACGAATCTGTAGTGCGTGCTGATTTTAGATCATTACATACTCGATTCTCTGAAGGCGTTTTATGTGCTCAATCCCTACTTTGAACGGTCTCCGACAGACTGCGCTACTTGCGCACATAAAACGCCTTCAGAGAGTCGAGTATGTAATGATCTCAAATCAGTACGCACTACAGATTCGTAACAACAATTGCTGCAGACGCAGCTGAAGGCGAATTGCTTTTGCTCATAAAACTCCCTGAGAGAATCAAGTATGCAATGAGCTGAAATCAACACTCACAACATATTGGTAACAACAGTCGCTGCAGACGTAGCAGAAGGCGAATTGTACAGTTAAAAAAAGAGAATAATAGGTAGTCTGCATGTAACAAGAGAGTATGTATTCGATCGAAATGATTCGAAAGTAAAATAAAAACTTGAACCGACCATCATCGATTCAATGGATAAATAAATAAAAAAGGGGATCAAAATCAATAGAAAACTTGCGTTTACCATGAAAATTTCAAATTGCAACATATCGAAATTAGGATCAGCCTAGATTTTGATTTTTGGCGATTTTGAGCCCACACGTGCCATAGACTCATTCCCTGCAAACAGTTTTTGAGCACATTTTTGTCGCATTTCTTTTTTGCTTCAAGAGCACTGTGTCTGGTGACCGGGCAATGATACAACACTAAACTTTCGAGAATTGAAGTTTTCTCACTATGACTGACGTACAAAAATTGAGCCAACTTGAAAAGTTTACAATCTGCCAAGTATAAAAACCCAGAATGAATCTCGAAGGCAATTCCAGTGAGAGAGGACGTTACGGCTCCAAACTGAAGAGAAAGCTTTTGTCCCACAGGAAAAGCTGAAGGACCCTCACGTGTGTGCTTTCATGGTGGAACCGATTCAAGGCGAAGCCGGAGCTGTGGTGCCTGATGAAGGTTACTTGAAGAAAGTACGGGAGCTGTGCACAAAATATAACGTACTGTGGATCGCCGATGAAGTACAGACCGGTCTCTGCAGGACTGGGAAATTCCTCGCCGTCCACCATGAGAACGTGAAACCTGATATTCTTATACTCGGAAAAGCTCTGTCTGGAGGAGTCATGCCTGTAAGTACCACCGACACACTTTGAAACATATTTTCAAGGATAGATTTACTCGGAGAGTCATGAGCCCCGAACTTCATTATGTAAAGTATATCGAAACTGAGCAGTGGCGTGGCTACATTACGATTTATCGATTGATCTGCCATATAAACCTATGGGAAAGGATCGATGAACAAGGTGTTTGCAACGAACATCTTAATAATCGATCTTTTAACATAGCCTCAAATGGAGAAATGTCGCCAGTCGATCTTTCACGCCTAGCTACTGATACTAAGGTACACTTATCGCAAAATATACCGAATGGATTTTCAAAAACTTTTTTTTTTCGGATTCCATGTACTTTTTACCAGTTTTGGATGAGAGGAGGGGATTTTTAAAAGTTCTGAAAATTGAAATTCTCTTGGAGATGAAAAAAAATGTTTTTAAAAAAATTAGCGAATGAGGCCTTTTTACTCAAAGAAAAGGAGGGGGAACCCTCCCGGCTGTTAGAGAAAAAGGTTAGAAAAAATACAAAAAAAAACCCAGAATTTTGAAAATCTATCCAGGAAATCCTAAACAAGTGTACCTACCTTAAGATTAAAAAACGTTGTTTTGAGAAAAGCCTATTTGAAGTTTTGCTTACACAGAAGGGTTGCATCACTTTGTGCGTCACAAAACACCTTATAATTAATCCAATAGTGATCAGATTTCAAAAGGCTTGATTTTGGATTATACAGTTAAGGGCGTGCGGAATTTGATTTAAAAAAAATCGAGTGCAATGGTTTTTTAAACCAAAGCTGACTCGTGCCTTCCGTTAAGAAAGTTTGCTTTTTTTTTCTTCTTCTCCTTATCGGAGTATCGAGGATAAAGAGACTTCCTAATTTTGTCCGTCTGAAGGAAGTGACTTCGTAAGAGCTCACATGGAAGGTCAAAACGCCTACATTTTTTACATAGGCAACATGCACAGCCGAGGATACTTTTAATACAGGCAAGTTTAACATGAATGCACTTGTGCGTTTTAGTGAGTGGATGCTGTTTCAAATCAAAAGGAACTGCATCCATTCGTCCATGAGCTGTAAGATCCGTAAGAATACATGCATGACAAGGCTCATGTCACAATCATTATCGATGGTGTGAGTCGGCAATCACATAACTCGTTTGCGGTGCCTGAAAATCTCCGCCTCTATGTCATTTTTTTAAAGGAGAACACATTGACATCATTCCTTGAAGTTTGTGCAGAATTTTCTTCGCGCAGAGAAGAAAAATCAAGGCAGTTTTAAAGAATTGCCGTGGAGTAGTTTCCCGTTTAAAAAATAAAGTATGACAGGAAGTCTACGACGTCGCAAACCGAGTTATGTGATTGCCGACTTGCACCGTCGTTATAGTTCCTCTTGATTTAAGTACGTCCTATTGATCTCTCGCTTACCACTCTGATGAGCTCTGAAATTTCCTCTCGCTCAGGTCTCGGCGGTTTTGGCGGACGATCCAGTGATGGAGGTGTTCACGCCAGGAACCCACGGCTCGACCTACGGCGGGAACCCGTTGGCGTGCCACCTGGGGATCGTGTCCCTCGAGAGTATGACCGAGGGGAAGTTCGACGAGAACGCCAAGAAGATGGGCGACCTCTTCATGTCCGAGCTGTCGTCGCGATTGGACAGGAAGAAAGTCCCGATCGTCCGAGGGCGTGGTTTACTCAACGCTATCGTCGTCGATCCAGGTTGGTTAAATTTTCGATAAATCAAACCGTATGTAAAAAAAATGTTAAGTGATTACTGATTCTTGATTATCAATGGCGGTTCTTAAGGGTGGTTTCACGATAACTGGAATAGTTTTGTCGCCGTAACAGACAACACATTTTACGGTCATATTTTTATTAGAAATGATAATCACTCGAATTTTTTCGCATTTATCTTCAAAGGGTTACGTATTGTAACGCTTTCTAATGATTTATTGCTCTACTTCTCAATCAATATTATGTAAATTCCGAAAATGTGCTGTCTATTACGCTGTAAAAAGTCAGCGTAACAGACAACACATTTTTGGCCATTTATATATTAAAATTGAAAAGTAGAGCGATAAGGTGAGGTTGGGTAACTGGGCAGGAGTTCGGAGAAAAATGTCAAAATTTCAACTTCATGATTTTTTTCCCATCATTATATTGACAAAGGAGGCTACTTTTAAATTTTTTTTAGTAAGTATAACATCTTGTCTAAATGTAGGAAGAGTCAAAAGTCGAATTTCATCTTTCAATTTTTTCCCACAAATTTTCAAAAATTTCCCGTTTTTTCCACCCAGTTACCCAACGTCGTGGGGTAACTGGACTACCCCCCCTTAATTTTTGAGGGGGGCATTATTTTTAATTCTCATTGGCCAGAAAGTGATGTCCTGCTCATGAAGGTTTAAGAAAATGTCATTTGAATGTATATAAACATGTTTAAGTGGTTAAGAATGATGTCGTAACAGTTAGCGGCAAAAAACCCCTCAAATCTGAGAATTGAATAACGGTAAAAAAAAANCGCCCAGTTACCCAACCTCACCTTAGATCTTTGAAAAGCGTTATAACACATAACCTTGTGTACATTAATGAAAAAAAATTCGAGTGATTATAATTACTACTAAAAATATGACCGAAAAATGTTTTGTCTGTCACGGTGACAAAACTATTCCAGTTATCGTGAAACCACCCTTAAAAGTTGGCAACACTGTTTCTCTCCACCTGCATTTATGTGAAACAATCGATTCTTGGTGAGAAGCTTGCCTCACCTAAAATCGATATTTACGATGGATTTAAATACAGGAAAAACAGTGCTGCCAACTATCTAGAGTCGCCACTGTACCAGTGGCGTGCGGTCCGGATAAGCAAGGCAAGCACTGCTTGCCCAAAGATTTTAAAAGAAAGAAGAAAATTACACCTGTTACATGCATGTTTTACATTTTAGCAAATATAATTTATAAAAGGTGTTCAGTATGTAAATTGCATTAAAAACAGTAAGAGAGAGGGACAGAAATACGTATAGTGCCACTAAAGTATAGGAAAGCAGCAGAGTGGACGGAGGTGGCGCAGCGCGCTGCGCGGCCTGAACACGGGCCGACTCATGCGCTGGGGAATCGCTTGCGATCAGCTGAGCGGAGAGCCACTGCTCGGCGGCGGAATCAAGGCGGGCGGGTAGAGCGGTACGTTCCGAGTCCGAGCCCTTCGCTGCGCGATCGCAGCTCGCTTCTCTTGGCCATCTCTTGGCCCGTCACCGCAGCGCGCTGCTTCTGCCTCCGATGCGCTATCTTGCTCACTCTTTCCGTCGCGGTTGTAATTGCTCCTTCGGTGCAAATGCCCTTAAATTCTATAAAATTTCCCTCACTTGATCTGATTAGTGATGAATTAGAAAATTCTCAATCATGTTTTAATCGCAGAAAATTCTAATTTTCTAACTTATTTTTCTAATTTCTAATTTTAAACTCAAAAAATTCTAAATAATGTAGAATAAAGACTACAATACCTCAAATAAGTGGCAAAATTAGGAGTTAAGAGCATGGAGCCGTCCTCTAATGCTCAATAACATTCGAAACAAGTTGAGTAAACGAAATCATAAGTAAGAGAGAAAGTAATAAAACCACAGTTTTTCAAGACATTCCATCAGATTTCATCCGAAAAATAGAGCAAATACCGTCAAATTTTAACAATTTTCTAGGGGGGAGGCTCCCTGAGGAGGGGAAAGAGACTACGTTAACCCCCTCCCCCCCGGATGGCGAACGCTAGAGCTTGCCCTGTCACTAAACCCACCGCACGCCACTGCACTGTACAGGGTGATCCAAGGAAAAGCATCTCCCAGCAGGAACAAGATCGCAGGAACGTTTTGGGTGCTTTGCTGTTGTGCTAAGATAGAACGCCGTATGAGTCCTCAGACGTAGCCAATTTTCTTCAATAAAAAACGAATTTATTGCGTAAATCATGAGTATTTTTCTTTAAATTAGTCGGACAGTTTTCCTCGCAGTTAACCTAAAACATCTGAAAATTTCAAATGAGAAAATGCATAAAAGTCTTCAAAATTGCATGTTCCATCCGGGGAAATTCGGCAACTTTTGAAAGCTCATGCGCTGTTTTACCTTAACTTGGCAGTATGGGCCAAAGTAAGAGTTTTTTTGACAAAAAACATGGAGGATACAGCGAAGGGGACTGCACTCTCCCGTCCTCTCCCCTCTAAATCCTGGCATAAACTTTGTTTCTCATGCATGTTGGAACGGTAACAAGTCACAGTTTTGCTAAGGTTTAATGATAGATACATGAAAAAAAAATAAAAAAAGATGACTTTGATTAATGTCCATAGTGCAAATATCTGCGTAGGCGTGGTTAAATGCTCTGATAATGAACCACAACAGACCAGTCCGAGTATTTGAGTATATTGATTCGCAATCTTCAACAATCCGTGGAAATTACTAATTCGCAACCACCCCTTTCCAATCTTCGTGACTAAATACCGGTCCGAAGAATGAAAAATAGATGCCTGGATTTTGAATTATTTTATTTTTGAAACTTGAATGAATTTTGTGATTTCAGAGCAAATTGACACAAAATATGCAACGATTGCAATGCGAGACCGTGGCTTGATCACGAAGCACATCAACGAGAAGGTGATTCGATTCTCGCCAGCGTTGATCATCACCGAAGAACAGATGCGAGCTGGAATTGACATCATCGTCGACGCACTCAACAATTTTAAAATGCCGGCAAAATGAACGGGGACAAAACAGTATTCAACCGCCGATCAATCGTGCTCTGAATCATGACAATTTGAGAATGGACCACTGAACAAGCTGCGAATTGAAGCATTCGTGGAAAAAATTGAATGTTGCTTCAGCATTGATAATATGTTACAAAAATGTACAAGTATAAATGCCGATTTTACAATAGAATAATGCATCACTGGAAAAAAAACACACACATTGGATCTTGAGTCCAGACTCTTAAAAACATCGACAAGAAAAAATACTCTTGATTCAATCGGATTTTTGCTTAAATCAAGAACCGGAGCCCCCTAATTTGAGCGGATTTCCTTTTGATTTAAGCTTAAATCTCATTGAATCAAGAGTATTTTTTCTTGTCAATGTTTTCAAGAGTCTGGACTCTAGATCCAATGGGTTTTTTTTTTCAGTGATGGTTAACTACATTTATGATTAAATGAACAGTTGAGTTTGCATTTTTTTTTAAAAGTGACAACAACATTCTTGTCCACTGATCCGTCGCGGCCTTTCACGATTCTGAAGATCTGGTATGACAGAGTAGGACGAATTTACAATCACCGGCTGAGTCCGCCTCTACTTGTCAATTAATTATTTGAGTTTAATAAATTGTCAAAATAATAACAAATGGTTTTATTTGAATGATTCCTTATGGACTAATTTCAATTTCTCCTTCTCCAACAAGCAAAAATCGCGAAATTGCAGTTCAACCTGTGGCTGTATAATATCGCGATTTTATTAAAATCCAAAATTGCGATTGAATCCAAACGAAGACCACCAATTAAATCGTTAGGTAAATGCAATTCAATCTCAGCGTGTTGCGACAAAATGGTCAAAATCAACAGCATGAGTGCGATTGAGGGGATGGAGGACAAGATACATAACGATGGTGAATGCGCAGAAGTGCGTATCTCGGAAAACACGATTTTCCAGGAGAGTAATAAACTGTCTGCATTCCTCTATTGTTAGTAGAAGGGTTATAATTTTTGAGGATTGCAAGAATAAGATGCTTCTTCAGACTCCATCAGCATTTTGAATAATTTTTCGAACTGTTAATGAATACGGCAGAAATGCCGAGATTCGCGTTTTAGGCACTAAGAATTGACACTTCATCACGAGTTGCGCATTTTTTGCAATTAGTGTTTTAAACCTGTTGTTTGCGGATTTGGATCATTTAGAGACTGAAGAAAGATTTTCAAGCTTGCAATTCCTTTAAGCTTTAATTTGATCTCGTGTAGCCAGATCAAACATCACATGATTGGAAAATGACATATTTATGATCAAGAGATACGCATTTCTGCAATTAGCGTTTTGAACCTGCTCTTGATCATTAAAATCAAAAATAGAGTTTATTCATACTTAAACTTGTCTAGAAGCTTTAGTTTATCCTTTTCATCAATAAGTGAATCAGAGAATTGGCTTCCTTGAGTAACTTTTACACCATTGGTAAAAAGACGGTACAGAGTCTCTGGAATATATCGTCTCTGCTACGACTCTCAAAATAGTATATACCTAAGCAGGTTAAACTTTTTTTTCTATTTTTCCCCCAACACTTCGGCATACACCGTTAGAAACATACAGCCATCTCTATACATTATTTGGACGTACTTCTGTCAAACGGAACTAAGCGCCATATTGAGTTCTTTTTGAGGAATTTAGAATGCGGGATAGCGCGTTCTGTCAAACGGAACTAAGCGCCATGGAAAAGCATTGCGAGTATAGGACGGAATAAGCCCGACGCCCGATTCCGCCGCCGATTGGACGTATTTCTATCAAACAGAACTATGTGCATTATGACGTGAGCCCTGTTATGTATAATATTCTTGCGGGTCTCAGGGCTCATGTCCTGATGCACATAGTTCCTTTTGGCAGAAATTCGTTCAATTCAAGCCCCCTTCTACCTTCCTCCTCCGATGGCGCTTAGTTCCGTTTGACAGAAATACGTCCATATAGTGCCCGCAGACACCCGGATGCTCCATCCATCCATGCTCTACGCCTTTCAAATTGACTTATGTCAAAGGACCTTTTCTTAAATTTGTATTATTCACAATTCGTCGACGAAGCTCAATTTATACGTGCGAAATTTATTAAATTAAAAACAGCCTTTGAGTTAGTTATAATCTTGTAAACGGCTACTTTCTCGGTTTCGTATGGGAATACAATGACCTATGCAAGAAGAAATAAAAACCAAAATCTTAACCAAGCGTTTAGGCTTTTTTTTAAGAAGGACCTTTTTCTAAAAGGGACTTACGGACGAAAAAAAATAATAATAAACAAATTAATGTTCTTCAATCAATATTCAAAATTACGCTCCTTTGAATATTCCAAAATTATGTACATTTTGGTCATCATCATTGCACAGGACCACTCAGATACGATACAAAAATGCGCCTTCATCCCGCTTAGTATTCTTAAAGGGAATTTCTGATACCACTATTCGTGCGTCACGACAGTCATATTGCATACCCGCCCACTTGAAGGCAAATCATTGGCAGAGGCAAGGGGATACGAAATTAAGCGATATGATACGAAATTTCTGAAGAGCAAAAAATCCGGGGCTGCCCCCCCCTGGGAACCAAGAGGCCCTGCCCCGGGGCTGCCCCCCCTAGCAACAAAGAGGCCCAGAGCAAAGGCTGCCCCCTGAGCCCTAAGGAGCCAAACCCGGGGGTCAGCCCCATGTACCCTACGGAGCCAAACCCGGGGGTCAGCCCCCTGAACCCTAAGGAGCCAAACCCGGGAGTCAGCCCCCTGAACCCTACGAAGCCAAACTCGGGGCTGAGCCCCCTGAACCCTACGGAGCCAAACCCGGGGGTCAGCCCCCTGAACCCTAAGGAGCCAAACCCGGGGGTCAGCCCCCTGAACCCTACGGAGCCAATCCCGGGGGTCAGCCCCCTGAACCCTAAGGAGCCAAACCCGGGGGTCAGCCCCCTGAACCCTAAGGAGCCAATCCCGGGGGTCAGCCCCCTGAATCCTACGGAGCAAAACCCGGGGGTCAGCCCCCTGAACCCTAAGGAGCCAAACCCGGGGGTCAGCCCCCTGAACCCTACGGAGCCAAACCCGGGGGTCAGCCCCCTGAACCCTAAGGAGCCAAACCCGGGGGTCAGCCTCCTGAACCCTAAGGAGCCTATCCCGGGGGTCAGCCCCCTGAATCCTACGGAGCCAAACCCGGGGGTCAGCCCCCTGAACCCTAAGGAGCCAAACCCGGGGGTCAGCCCCCTGAACCCTACGGAGCCAATCCCGGGGGTCAGCCCCCTGAACCATGAGGAGCCAAACCCGGGGGTCAGCCCCCTGAACCCTACGGAGCCAAACCCGGGGGTCAGCCCCCTGAACCCTAAGGAGCCAAACACGGGGTTCAGCCCCCTGAACCCTACGGAGCCAAACCCGGAGCTGAGCCCCCTGAACCCTACGGAGCCAATACCGGGGGTCAGCCCCCTGAACCCTACTGAGCCAAACCCGGGGGTCAGCCCCCTGAACCCTACGGAGCCAATCCCGGGGGTCAGCACCCTGAACCCTACGAAGCCAAACTAGGGGGTCAGCCCCCTGAACCCTACGGATTCAAACTCGGGGCTGAGCCCCCTGAACCCTACGGAGCCAAACCCGGGGGTCAGCCCCCTGTACCCTAAGGAGCCAAACCCGGGGGTCAGCCCCCTGAACCCTAAGGAGCCAATCCCGGGGGTCAGCCCCCTGAATCCTACGGAGCCAAACCCGGGGGTCAGCCCCTTGAAGCATAAGGAGCCAAACCCGGGGGTCAGCCCCCTGAACCCTACGGAGCCAATCCCGGGGGTCAGCCCCCTGAACCATAAGGAGCCAAACCCGGGGGTCAGCCCCCTGAACCATAAGGAGCCAAACCCGGGGCTTAGCCCCCTGAACCCTACGGAGCCAAACCCGGGGGTCAGCCCCCTGAACCCTTAGGAGCCAGACCCGGGGGTCAGCCCCCTGAACCCTAAGGAGCCAATCCCAGGGGTCAGCCCCCTGAATCCTACGGAGCCAAACCCGGGGGTCAGCCCCCTGAACCCTACGGAACCAATCCCGGGGGTCAGCCCCCTGAACCCTAAGGAGCCAAACCCGGGGGTCAGCCACCTGAACCCTAAGGAGCCAAACTCGGGGGCGAGCCCCCTGAACCCTACGGAGCCAAACTCGGGGGTCAGCCCCCTGAACCCTAAGGAGCCAAACCCGGGGGTCAGTCACCTGAACCCTAAGGAGCCAAACCCGGGGGTCAGCACCCTGAACCCTACGAAGCCAAACTCGGGGGTCAGCCTCCTGAACCCTACGGAGCCAAACTCGGAGCTGAGCCCCCTGAACCCTACGCAGCCAAACCCGGGGGCTGGCCCCCTGAACCCTAAGGAGCCAAACCCGGGGGTCAGCCCCCTGAACCCTAAGGAGCCAATCCCGGGGGTCAGCCCCCTGAATCCTACGGAGCCAAACCCGGGGGTCAGCCCCCTGAACCCTAAGGAGCCAAACCCGGGGGTCAGCCCCCTGAACCCTACGGAGCCAATCCCGGGGGTCAGCCCCCTGAACCATAAGGAGCCAAACCCGGGGGTCAGCCCCCTGATCCCTACGGAGCCAAACCCGGGGGTCAGCCCCCTGAACCCTACGGAGCCAATCCCGGGGGTCAGCCCCCTGAACCCTAAGGAGCCAAACCCGGGGGTCAGCCACCTGAACCCTAAGGAGCCAAACTCGGGGACGAGCCCCCTGAACCCTACGGAGCCAAACCCGGGGGTGAGCCCCCTGAACCCTACGGAGCCAATCCCGGGGGTCAGCCCCCTGAACCCTAAGGAGCCAAACCCTTGGGTCAGCCCCCTGAACCCTAAGGAGCCACACCCGGGGGTCAGCCCCCTGAACCCTAAGGAGCCACACCCGGGGGTCAGCCCCCTCGGTTAGGTGTTTTTGGTTTTTAGCAAGTTTTGAACCTTCCTTGATCAAAATTTTAGGGAATAACTGGCGCACATATTGCAAGAAATAAAGGGTGGATTTTAAGCTTTTCCTTTAAAATAAATTCAAAAAGTTAGTGTTCTCGGCTTTTGGCAAGTGTTGAACCCCTCTGAAACAAAATTTGAGGCAATTTTCGGTGCACAAATTGCGAGAAGTTAAGAGTGGATTTTAAGCTTTCTTAAAAAAAAAAAATAAAATAAAATAAAAATAAATAAATAAAGATAAAATCAAGAAGTTAGTGTTCTTGGCATTTTATGAGTTTAGATTTGAAACACTCTTTAACAAAAAAGGCATTTTTTGGCGCACATTTTTCGGGAGAGGAAGGGTAGAGGGACCTCAATTGACTCTAGTATGAGCCTAAGTACGAAGAACTAAGGAGATTCCTGTGGTCAGAAAAAATTTAATCTTCATTGTTGAGGGACAAGGGGCTAAAAAATTACATGGTGCGGGCTCCAAGCCGTGTGCTGATATGGTAAAACCGGTTCTGGCTTGCTTACATTGGAAATAGGAGTCCAAGATGTTGACAAGTTTTACTTGGGTCTTCAGAAAAATGAATTTTCGATTTTTCGGGAGGAAAGTATGACAAGCCTTACTTTCATTTAACTTCTTTAAATCTTGACAGCCATAAAAGAAAATGATTATTTTAGGACTATGAACCAATGCTTAAAGAATGACGAAGCATAAAAATGAGAAGAACCAATGTTGTCCATATTTTCTTTCTATTTATTTCACACGCATACCATAGGTACAAATACAATCTCATAAATTATTTAAAAGTTACTTCGATAGGTACACTTACGTACTTATAGATTTTCTAATGATACAATTCAGCTAACTGGGTGATGGAGTTCTTATTCAAAACAATGATAACAGTGGGTGTAGTTACAAGGAATAAAAAACTGCAGCAAAATATGCTGTTAAAAGTAACGTGATGGCGTTAAATAATGACGGTTTTAGAATTTTACATTAAAATTTAAAGGATAAAATTATAACAAGTAACTTAAAAAGCCAAGAAAATAATTAGAAACATCATTTCAGACAACTTCTGCACATCATACACAACATTCAATGCCATTAACTCACTCCCACGATACAATATCTCAGTACAATTTTAATAAAATATACCGTATCCAATAAAAATCAGTCTTCCATTAGCTACTTTATTCTTATCAGACTTCTCACAAGAAAACGCATAGTTCGTCATTTTCCGTACGAAGGCACGTAACTACTTACGAATTCTGCAAAATTTCAACTCAAAAATTCTATTTTTCCTAGGGAGGTCTCTTCCTGAAAATTCCATTGATTTATCTCCTGATGATTGTAAAAATCCGCATTTGAATAGATAAGGGACATTCATATCCCTGAAGGAATTAAATTTTTAGTGTCAATTTTGCAACCTTGGAATTGAGTTACATTCCCTCGTCTGACAATTGACGAGTTTTCATCATAAAAAATAATTTAAAAATAAAAAAAAATAAGAAAGAAGGAAAATTGTCCCTACAGATTATTCATTCAAAAGTTATGAAACAATTAACAGATGTCTCTTGCATAATGAAATTAAAGTGATGAAGTCGATTTAAAAATAAAATGATACACTATAAGGAAATTATAAGACATAAATAAAGTAAATTACTGAATTATTCACCGATTATTACTGATAGAGGAGAATGTTAACTTCAAAAAAGAGTCCAGCTATTGAAAGATTGTGCTTTCAGCAAAGTAAGCAACTCAAGGAGAAAGGATCGCACATCAGAAGAGATTTGTTAAAAAAAAATATGCTAGAGAGAAATCAGGGTCTTTACAAGTTGTTTTAATTACATTCATTTACTTACTACCAGAGATATACGGAGTCTACTATCTACGAGTTAGATAGCTTTTTTTTGACTTAAATGAGAAGCACACTCATGGCTTGTTCAAGCCGTTTCAAAATTTAAAAACAGTGAAGAAGCTCCTTATTACTTTGGCTTCTTCAAGGACCACTAGACATGGTCCAAACACAAAACCGTCTCATGATTTCTCTTCAAAATTTTCCGTAAAAAACGATTTACACAATGGGGAGTTCAAAAATCAACCTCTGAATGCGATATTTACAAATATTTTCAACACAGATCAAATAAAAATTAGATTAAACCGATGACATAATTTGTGCTTTAACCAGCGCTAATTGTAAACACTAATATCTTGTTTGAGAGGTGATTTTCAGACTTCCTGTTGTGCAATTGTTTTCCTCCTGAAATTTTGCAGAGAACACGAGGCCAATTCAGAACAATGCATACAAAAACTTTGCAATGAATTCCTTACTTTCTCTAACTCAGTCTTTGAATTTTCGGCAGAGCTATTCTGCAAATAGGTAACTGAATTTCATTTGGCTGGGAGAGATTAGTTGGGCAGTAGACTTTATAGTCATCAGTTCACAAATTACCTTCCAACAGCCATTATTTTCACCAGGTTATTTAACGACATAATGCCATGATCAAAGCTTCGATTTCTAGTATTACAGTTTGGGCGGAATTCTTGAATGTTCTCTCGCCCATGGTTTAATAATTATGGAGAATTTAAAAAATTTTAGGTAAATAAATATTTTAAAGATATGAATAACCGTAGATCATGGTTTCCTACACTCAGATCTGTGACATAAAGAAATTCAACTTATCTTCAAAATGTATGGGTCTCAAAAAGGGAGAGAGAGATTGTATTACTCATATAAAATGGTATTGAATATTCACTTAACTTCACACAATACTAAAAGTAAATATGATTACTTTTTTTGTTTGAGATTTAAAGACAGCAGTTAGGTTTTACAGGCCTCGTCAACATGCAGAGAGTTCCTATAACTTTGGTGGAATTAGATGTAGCTGAAATATAACTTATTCCGTTTACACGCAAGAAAGAGGTGAAAAATAATGCGCAGCTGAAAGTTTGCTAACTTGAGTCGTCTTATTTTATGTCGTCGGTCGCTTACCGATGGCATCGCTGTGATTGCGACTGATGGTTACGCCCATTTTTCTCTATCCAATCACGGAATTACGCTACTAAAAAATTGTTAGAGGTTAGGTTTCACTGATGGTGCTCCATGGAGACACTCCGGACTCGGGTGACGAGTGATTGCGGCTGATGGCGTCAAAGCGTCACGTGACTGATGGTCTAGCTCAGTTTGACAAACTAAGCTCCGCCCAGTTCTGATGGCATCAACGAAACAAAACACGAATGATTGCGCAGTGACGGCGACTGATGGCGACCGATGGCATAAAAAAAGACGACTTTGTTCTGATAAAGTCATACAAATCTTTGCTTGTGTGGAAAAGGCCTTGCATTCATCATTTTTAATAGCTTGTAAACGCTGTTGTCTAGTAGGAAACAGGATAGGCTGTGGTCTTCCATTTGATGGCATCGTTCAATGAAAGAGCGTCTCAGGGAGGAGAAAACAGGCTTTTTACCATGATTAAAAAGTAAAAACATTTGAACACTATTAGACATCATTGCTCAGAATCATGAATAAAAAAACATTAACCTGCGATTAGGTTGCTCTGAAAAGTTATGACTACTCAAAGTCTTTTTATCCTCTTTTAGACAAATAAAAGAGAAAAGAGTACACGATGCATCACAATAAAATCAAAATCAAGGATCTACGCACAAAAACAAATACAAGCTATCTTTTCCCCCTTTTCCTGCGATACAATGATGATTTATCAAAAATTTGTAAAAATTTGTCTTCTCATGATTACGAAAGCACAAGTGAAAAGTCTGAATTACTGTAGCTTGCTTTAAAGCTAAAAAAAATAATAGTGCCCAAAACAGCCTTGACAGTTTTTAATGATTTAGTCTTCACATTCTAGTAATTGCTTGATTTTTTTAAAATACTTGAGAATAAGTCAAGATTAACATTGGCATTGCACAGAATTTGTGGCGCATTACTTCCTTTTATCCTCATTTATCAGTCTAACAAGAAAGGTAATTATGAATATTACAGTACAGTTACTTTTTGTACAAAACCATTAAAAAAATAACATTTATCCTAAAAATGGAGAAGTTACCAAGTGAAAGTCTAATAAAATTCTCCAGAAATAGAAATATCTAAATACATGCATAGTTTCCTATATACATTGATAGTAAAAGTTTCAGGATATGGAAATGGGGGCGTTCGAGTATTATTATATGTACTTAGGACACCACAGGGCCTTAGTCTGTGATATTAGAAGAAGGGCGTGAAACAATGATCCAATTTTAAAAAATTACCCGATCTTTTGGGAGGGAACAAATACTTGCAGGATAAATTTTGATGTAATAGGATGTAAGGTCTATTCAGCATCACAAGTTATTATGGGGGTCCTTTACATGACATGTACTGAACGAGGAGATGGGAGGGGTTAAAAAAACAGGCAATAGTCTATTTCATAAAAACTGAACGCCACCTTATGGGAGGGAGATAATATTAAACATTCAGCTCTTCTTCTTACTTAATTTTCAATATTTCTAGAATTATAAAAAACGTGGTAGATGCACAAATAACAAATAAATCTTCAATAGACTTCACGGCCCAGCAATTATACGATCGATCAGGTTTATGTTTTCTCAATAGAAGTGGCAGTCAGTATGTACAACTTTACAGTAATTTGTATGAAACTGAGAAACAAACTGATATTCACTTGTAAGAGGCACCATACTTCAGGAAAGTTTGTTGCTGGTGTGAGTCAAAAATCAATTTCTAAAGACTTGGAACTACAATACAATAGTTAAAAATACAAGTACATATATACATGGGCTCAGAGGATTCTTTGAAATGAAAAACAGGTACAGAATGCCTGTACTGGCAGCACTTTTTCAATGGTCGACAGTTGAGAATTTTAAGATTAAAACATTAGGTTAACTTTGGAGTAAAAATATATGAGCATTCGTGGGCCAAATAGGTCACCTGCACAGCATTAGCGAGTATGAAAAAAGTATCCAGTATTACCTAAAAATCTCTGTTACTTTTCTTTACATTTTAATTTGGATGATATTTCTCCTGAGAGAGAATGAAATGACCTCAGATACTTTGAGGCAAAGAAATACTGCTATGATTCAATACAGAGCAGGCAACGAATTGATTAGAAAGATTAGAGTATTTGAAAGTTCGTAAAGATTTAAAAAAAATTAAATCTTTATTTGAAAAGTATTTTAACATTCACCACATGTATTATATCCTAGTTTCTTGCATCCAGAATTGTTGTTGTTTCAATCGAGAGTAAAAAAAATGTTTCATGAATTTTTTCATTTGGAAACAGAATATGATTTTGCCTGAGGTTAATGCCGTAGGACCCAAATAACCCTCAGAAGATTTTTACAAAATCCCAAAGTATAAAAATTTTCGAACGAGCCATTCGAGAGTGTAACAGAACAAGTGATCTAACTTCACCCCCAAATTTCAGGAGCCATTTTTGGCTGGCAAGGCTAACTTCAGGAAAATCCTCAATTTTATCAAAGTCAAAAATATTTTCAATAATAGATTGCAAAATTTACCTCTTGAAATGAAAGTTTTACCTATTTTTTGGATCAGTGCAAACTGAACAGTCCTTGCAAATGTTAATTTAAAGCATCAAAACATGATTTTCAGATGAATTTCATACACGAGCCCCAGTGAAGTTAGAACACAATTTATACAATATTCCAAACAAACACACAATAAGGAACTAACATTTGTAGTGAACCATTTCAGTTCACCCTAGCTGAAAAGAAATTTAGACAGCTAATGATAGTAACTTAAAAAGCTACATATTGAAATATGACATACAGAAAGATTATGGAAATTTCCTGTATCAAAATTTGTACAGTTTAGAACAATAGCTAATTACTAACAACGAGAGAGAGAGAGGTTGATGGCAAGGATGCAGCTGATACGTGCTTTAATGAGGTTGGGACTGCCATCGAGTGGTTTCGTAGTATATTTCAGTACAATAGAACTTCTTTTTTCTGATTTAGTAAATTGGTCCAAAAATAATAATGTCAGACAACCACGCTTGTGTCTTCCGCTGGGAAATTCATATACCCGTACCCCCCCCCCCCCCCCCCCCCCCCNCCTTTACTCAATTTTGCAAAGATAAAAAACAAGGAGAAAAGTTCAATTTGAATACAAGATAAATTAAAGGAAACAATTATAGACCATTACTTACAACAACAAAAAATTAGAATTTAAATTTCATACGATGAAAGAATAAACTGAGGATAATGTTAAGCCACAATCTTTTGCAGCTTGTGACATAAGTTAAAAAGTGACAGCTTTGACCCAACTTTGTAATTATTTTGGCCCGGAAACCAATATTGATAGCAAAAAATCCAAATCCGTCCTGTGTTTAGGGTTGATTATACTTTGTCCACAGAAAGAGCTACATAAAAGTTTAAGACTTTACTTGCTTTATGAAAATCCTTTTAAATTAAAAATTTAGATACCTATAAAGGACAACAATGCCATGAACATTTTTCCTCAAGAATCGTTTTAACATGAGATTAATTTGAGAAGCCATTTTAGCTCAGAGTTAATTTCTGCCAATTTGCAGGACAAAACTTAGTGTCACTTTCCATTCAATTTATTCAACAATTGCAAGTTTCAATACGGAACGAGCGAGCAACGTTTATGTTACACTTACTAAGGAATATTAAACAATAATGAGCTTTTCAAATGAAACTCTTCACTTATAGAGTATAAAATACAAGTCAGTCTTGATTAAAAAATGGTAGAAAAATAAAATTAAAAATTTCATGTTCAACAAAACAACATACTCAACTGAGTACCAACAAGAGGTTCTGAGTAATGACACAGCCAGCAACCCTAGTGCCTGTAAAATCATAGAAAACAAAAGCGTTAATGAAAAGAGGGACAGTCATAAGAATGGAATTGTTTTTAAATATCATTTAACTTCAAGTCTTCAATCCTAAGGTTTTTCAAACTTCAGTATTTCTGAGCTGAATCTGTTCATCAGTAATTGAATAAAAACTCTTCCCACTAAAAATTCTTATTGAAGAGTCATCAACATCGACAAATCATTAAAGGACATCAAAAATCACTGATTTTTAAAGCTCTTACTTCAATACTTCTTTCATTGGCATACTTTATTAAAACATTTGACTTACTTACTTTCTTTTTCGCCCGATGAATTTTTCGGTTGTCACTCCTTAAACTTAAACGTTTAAGTTTTGTTTAAGTTTTGTTTAAGTTCAAGGAGTGACAACCGAAAAATTCATCGGGCGAAAAAGAAAGTAAGTAAGTCAATCACGTAGTTCCCGATAAAGAAAAACAAAGGATTAGTTTATTAAAACACTTTGTCTGAGCGTAATTATTTTACAAGATATAAAAATGCTACCCAATCTGGTTTTTTTTTTTTTTTTTTTTTTTAATTCCCTGTCACACCGTTTTTAAACTCATTTCAGCTCCTTTGACTTATCTTGCTTCAAGCATTTTTTTCTGAAAAGAACTTGAGAGACTTTGATTAAAATATAGATTAGGGGCATGAAATACAGAAAAAAAAGATTCTCATGAATTTTTATCGATGAAGTTCTACCTCTGCCTGGGACAAAGAATGGTAAAATGACTATACTCACTTCAATAGGAGTTCACTCAAGAAATCAAGACATTTGATTTGATTGGTGTGGCTTGAGGAAATTGGGGCTGTAGGGACCCATTTGTCTCACGTTGAGCCCATTGCTTTGGCAGCTGCTCCAATCTCCTGTCGGAATAGTTGCACGGTAGTGCCGCGAGGATGTTTTGTTAAAAACAGGCAGCAGTTCATGAGCGTCGTTCGATAAAGCCTGTTAAATAAAATCCATTAAAACATTCAACATTAAAACTTATCGATGGATTTCTAGGTGATTAGAGATGAGTTGGAGTTTAAAAACTGGAGTGAGGAAAACAAAACTTTAAAAAAAAATCCTCAATGATGATATTGAAAGACATCTCTTAGTCCTCTCTTGCGACTGCTTTATTTTAATTTTTCGATGAGGTTAAGTTTTGAACTAAAATTTTGGCCAATTAATAATTCAAATAATTTCTTGGGATAAACCCAATGAGCCTTTCACTTTAGTTCTTCATATCATCCGGTTTTTGCAACATTCTGAGAGCATAATTAATTTACCAATTCAAACAGGATTATTAAACTTCTGGAATATCCAAATTCTATTTTGTTATTTCTTTCCCATTAATTACTACCTAGATGAATTAGTTTATTATACATTTTTTCGTTGAATAAATAATATTTTTTTAAATGTGCCGCAACTTCTTTTGTCTCACTTTGTGCTATTTATAATTATACAATTTGCTTTTGAAGAAGGATGATTTTCCTCAATTACTTGAAATTTTTACCTTCAAATATATAATGGCATCCGTTCCAAAACCGTCACAGGAAAGCAACATTAGGTCTCCATGAAAATATCTGGCATACAAACGTGAGATAGGTAAACCATAGCCATAACCTGAAAACGGGACCAAAAAAAATTAGAATTAGAGCTACGGCAGAGATCATGATGATCTTATGATGAAAAATAATTATGAAAATTACAACATACAAAATTAAGATTCGCCACGCCCCACTTAAATCTTTTAAAAAAAGGGCCCGGTAGAGCCTTCATCAGAGGAGGTTGGAGCATCATCCAACAACGCAATTGCACGCCCGCACCCTGCCTCGAATATGCTAAGATTGTGGTTCATATTTTCACCAACAGATAGCATATTAAATCTGATTTCCATCGATAAAGAGGGATTCGAGAGAGAAAATTTGGTTGTGCTGGGCAACGGATATATGGTCCAAGGTATAACGAAAACGAGGTCCAAGATATGGGGAGTGGGCTATCCACGGGACATGTACATTCGTCCATGAAAATGGAAAAGGGAACTGAAAATTTTAGAATTTAGTACATGTATGATACATACTAGACTAGAATAAAAGTTTTAAAAATTTCACATCCGAGGGGGATGCAAGAAGCAAAATACGAAAAAAATTGATAAAACGCGTGTTACTAAGGTTTTATAGAGAAAAAAGGAGACTATTAGGCAGCAGTATCAAAGTTTTCACCTTTTTTGACTTGAAAATAAAAATATTTGCTGAGTCTAGAGACAAGTTATTTTTGAACTGAGTAAAATTCACCAATTTTAACTTTATCAAAAGTAGAAAAAGTGTTTATAAGAAAAAAAAAAATGTTTGCTTGACCCTGAAGAGAACATCCTTCTGCAATGAAATGGATTTTTGTAATTTGCAGAGCTAGGTTATTTTTGAAATGAATAATTTGATACTACTGCTGCAACTGATTAAAGAAACCCTTTACCTAATGCATAGAAGCGAGGCATGCTTGGTGTTCAGCAATTTGCGAGTGTTCCGACCCGAATATAATCCAACCTCCCCCCACCAACTGCGAAGGCAAGCAGTTGAGAAAGCAGGGCTTTGCGGCTAGCTGAAATGTACAAGTCTCTTCCTTCCACAAATACGCAGCAATACAGCTGAACATATCATCCTAAGGACCCTGAGCCCTACAGAAATTCATTGACACAAAACAATATTTATGCATGTCACAAACCTGCGAGAGGAACGGTATGAGCATCTGATTTTGAAGGTTGAGGAGCTGTGGAATACATGTACTTGAACAACTGGTCTGTGAGGCTTCGGGGAATACCACCTCCTCTGTCTGACAACTGCAAGCCCAAACAATCAAGTTGACAATTATTAATGAGAAAACATTTGAATTGTAAATAGCTCTCAAGTATACTTGATTTAAAAAATTCCACAGTGGTTTGTAACCTTATAAAGGAAAAAAAAATATCAGAGCAGAACAAATTTTGGGGGGGTGAATTCAAAAATGCAAGAAGGTTCTTTGACTTTAGACCTTGAACCAAAACTGTCAGTCATTGATCAAAGTATATACTAAATCGTTGAAAAATTATAATACATATTTTTCTGTGAAATCAGCCGATATACTTGGCATTTTGACCAGGGTGTCTACTGAGGTCCACAAAAATAATATAAGTACTTTTTCAGTACTTTTTAGGTACTTAAGGAAAAATTTAAGTACCTCGCCTTGGGGAAAAATTAAGAACTTTTTAAGTAACTTTTCGATACGTATCGCAATTCTTCGATTTTGGCACAGCCGCACGCTTTACTTCAGCTATTCCCGTGGCCTTTTCGGCTGTTTTCGTTAAATCTAGGGAAATGCCTTATTCCGCTCATCTACAACAACCGCGCTCTTGCGGGCTGACATTGCACTAATACACCTGATGGACAACGCACAGAGGGTTGCATAACTATCAGGCGATCGAACTAAACGCGCAGCGCAAAATGTGAAAAATGCGAAAAATTACGGACCTTCCGCAAGATTTACGTACTTTTAAGGTACTTACAGACCGACCTTAAAAAATGCGTACTTTTTCCGGACTTTCCGGACTTTACGGACTGGTAGACACCCTGTTTGACGCATTTTTTGATTCAAAGTGAGCACTTTCATCAAGTTTAAGGCATCTGATTTAGAACACTCCAATGAAGCTCCTACATGCAACTAGGCTTTGCGATTTATGGCCATTACCTTGAGTAAAAAATTACAAGAAACACAATGGTGCCTCTGCCAAACTCCACAGCTCAGAATAAGCTCTCAAAGTTTAGGCCATATTGAGGCCATATTCCCTCCATTATGGAGGGGATTCGGGATTCCCTCCATTATAACTTCATTTTTGAGAACTTTTTTTCAGCTTGCGAGTTTATTTCAGAGAAAACCAGGGGCACCATTGTGTTTCTAGTAGATTTTGTAATAGGCAGACGCAATGTCCATTAACGCTTAAAGTAAAGACGTACCTTTATACATATGTCTTCTCTGCCTGACACAATTGTGACTTCAATCGGCGGGACATTGTCATCATCGCAGTGATGTTCAACAACAGCTCGCATGGCATTCTTGAATAACTCGAATAACATGTGATACAAGTGTGACGGAACATAAACAGTTCTGATAGGAAGTCCTTGTTCTGAGGCTGGAATTGACATACATAATGATTATAATAGGTAAAATTAAATTAAGACCAGAAGAGAGCACACCTCGTTTGTGGTTGTTTCAAAATTTTTACTCTTATTTTATTTTTCTCGCAGTAAAATCATTTGATTTTTTGGCATAAAATTTGTTGCCAATATTTTAAGATAATCACAGGCAAATCACACAAAATAATGTGAAATAAAATAGTTGGGACGTAATAAAAATAAGAGGTGGCAGAAAGTTTGCGGCACGACAGTCTGAGATAGATGTTTTTTTAACTTTCACCATTAGCATAATAATGGAATGCTGATCTAAAATTAGAGCACATGAAGATTATAACGTCAAAAAAAAACTTAAACTTGAAACGTCAAAAATGGCTTTGACTCTACACTAGCCTGGTAGTGATGATGGTGTAAGTAGGCAATCACATAACTCTTTTTTGGTGTCTGGAAATCTCCACATCTATGTTACTTTTTTAAAATAGAACAAATTGACATCATTCCTTGAAGTTTATGCAGATTTTCTTTGCACAAAGAGGAAAAATCATGGCAGTTTTAAAGAATTGCTGTTGAGTAGTTTTCCATTTAAAAAATAAAGTATGACAGGAAGTCTGCTACATTGCAAACCGAGTTACATGATTGCCGACTTACACCGTTAATATAATTTTTTACTATGAGCTATTCCAACTGTGAAATTTTTTTTTTTTTTTTAAATCAATTCCTTTTGTATTTGTGCTTTCAAAATTATCATGTTTTTAGTTGAATTTTTTATGGAGTCTCCAAGAGGGTCTTGAATTGGACCTAAACTTAAGTACCTAGATAAATTCTTTTTAGTATCCCAGGGTGTTACATTGTCAAACCCTTGACTTATACCATCAGCAGAAAGTGTTGAAGCAATAAAAAAACCTGCATCATGGATCAAAAAATTGAAGACATCAGGCTAACCGAGAGATTATTACCGACAAATAGATAAAAGATCAAAGAGATCAGTTGAGCAGATCTCTCAATATAAAAATAACAAAAATTGCATGAGATGGCTTCTAGTAATGATAAAAATGCACCTAATGACTACAAGCTGGAGAATATTAGACTACATTGGGCTGCAAATAGTTTTTTTCAAGCGATAAAGAGAAGAACAATGATGAATCGTGACCTTTCCAGTTCAGAGGGATAATGATGAATTACAACACTCACAAAAGATGAAACACTTACGATTGTGTTCATTGATGATTATTTCTGGTGAGGAAAGGTAATATTGATCACATAGGAACCTTGCATTTTCGTACGCATCCTTCACGACACTTACAACATCACACTGAGGATCAATGCAGCCGATATGCCGTAGAGTTGGGTCACCCGTCAGCTCATTTCCAAACAGTAGAGCTAAAGAAATTTCAGAAATTAAAATCAGATAGGTCATTAATAGCTCAATTTCTATGAAGTCAAATGAAAAAATTAGATATAGTTTTATCGAGTACGTCCATTTCATTCACTGAGATTTTTATAAATTAATGTCCTTTTTCAAGTCTTTGTTCCTCAGAGAATAATTTTGCTCTTTTTTCAGTGTTCAGGATTATTATTTTTTCCAGTCACAGATTCTCTTCAACCACAAAAATAGCAGTTAATCCATAGTATAAGGCGAAACATGAGCCAAAACTATGCCCTGCGTTAAAATAACTACTGATTAATGATTGATAAGCTTCTAAATTGGATTAAAATTAAATTGAGTTTTAAATTTCCTTCTCACTTCTTGGCAAAAAAAAAAAGAAAAAAAAAACCTGCACCACTGACTTATATTGACTTTTATGAGACACCTAAAACTAATTATTTTCTACCTCACTGAGTATTCAGTATCAAGTATTCAGCATCCTTCATCATACATGGAACAGCATGGGTGATAAAATTGAGCATACCGAGTGAATTGAAATTCCAGCTGAATTTTTTTTGATACAAAAGCAACAACAATTGTATTCCTTTTCAGTCTCAAAAAATTCCCTTACGATTGTAAGTTTTACAGAATTTTTGGAGTTCCCTGATTTTTTCACATATTTCAGGTTGCTTTGAGCTCTACTCAACAAAGTTATGCAATTTGCGGCACTTACTGTGCTGATTTATCAACATCCGAATGCTGATTCTTGACATGTAAAATCTGTCCAAAAAATACTGGATGCTGTTTTCTGTCTGCGAATCAACATCGTGCGACTCTTTCAGTTCAAGCACTCCTTGAGCCATCGTCTGAACAACATCCGAGTGGCGGTTTCGAATTTTAACCAGGGCTTTGCAAAATCTGTAAACAAAAATATCGAATATTAAAACCTCGAGGATTCTGAAGCATTCGCAAACCGAAAAATTAACTTAAAAAAAAGTTGAAACGTTGTTCGCTTATGAGAAAAATTAGAGGCTGTTCGATAAACCTACACGTAACAGCCCCTTCGAATATTGGGCGATAACTATTTAGACGCTGCTGTCGTCGGGTTGCATATTCATTGTTTTGAAGGCGATTTTTACGGTCAGGGCATGAACAAAACATGGAAGGGCCGTGCTAATGTAACGATGACGGTTTCATGATGCATTCAAGATTTCGCCAGCTGCTGCATTCTATACATCGTCATGACTAAATTTCACTGTTGCCAAATTACCCTCTGCAAATTGCATTTTTACCAGGAAATATTGGACGTTTCTAACTGAAAATTTCACTGATCTACCTTCTGATATCATGGAAAAATCAAAGAAAATTGGGACAAAAATTACTCGGGTACACAATTGTTAAAAAATTTTATTGTTGGAGTCAATGTTAGAACCCTGGAATTGAGTTACGTTCCTTCGATAGGGAAATGACGACAGGCTGCAAAAGAATTCCAGAATTGTGGAGTTTAAGAATAAAAAATAAATAAAAATAAATTAATGATATACTTACTTGTCTAAAGTAATGCTGTCATTGCCGTCAGTCTTTTCGAACTCCAATATTTCGGTGAAAGACAAAGCGTACCACTGATTAACGAGGGCCACTGAAGGCATTCTCAGAAGATTATCAGGAAGCAAATGGATCTCCTTCATGATGTTGGCCAGCCTCACGGGAAGCTCTTTGCGAAGGAATAGGAAGGATTTCTGTTCGCATGCGGATAATCCTGCAACAAGAAAATCAGAAAAAATCATTATTAAGAAAATCAGAGAAAATCATTATTAATATAATCAGAAAAAATCATTATTAAGAAAACCAGAAAAATCATTATTAAGAAAACCAGGAAAATCATTACTAAGAAAATCAGAAAAAATCATCATTGAAAGAGAAATTTTAGTTCAGAATAAACTGTCGTTTCTCTGACGTAAGACAGTAGCGATTTTCCAAGTTGGCAACACTGTTAATACTCCATTTAAATCAATTAAAAATATCGATTTTATGTGCACCAAGACTCGATTGCTTTACATATATTTAAGAGGAGGAGGCCCTGTCGGTGGCGAAGCTTTCTGGTTGCCACTGATTTTCCTCCATTTAAATCTATTAAAAAGATCGAATTTGCGGAAGGCAAGCTGCCTCGAGAGCCTCGCCTGGAATCGATTCTTATACATACGTTCAAATGGAGGAAATTAAGCGGTGTTGCCGATTTTCAAAAATCCCCGATGGTACCTATCACCTGTCACAGTCCGGTCTTTAACATCGTGAATATTTTGCATTAGACCAGCGGGCCGATTATTGAAATTGATAGACAAAGCTATAGACAAAGAAGACGTAGGGGGTATAAAGCAATCCTATTGGTTGAAATGGGTGGTTCTCATAGACTAAGGGGGAAAATGATAGACTATCCGTCGGGTCTCTCGTGGGTTGCCGTTAGTTAGTCTATTACCTACCTGCTTTGTCCATTGCAGTNAGTGGAAAAAATGAACTGAAGTCGAGAGTATGTAGCTCCTGGTGACTGGTGCATGCGTCTGGTGCGACATTGAACTTCTGCCAGTAAGAGGCGTGCTCCGACATTGACCTTTTAAGGAAACTACTGTTCCTATGCAGAGTACTCACGACAGGTTGCAGTGTTGTTACGATGTGTAATCTGTTTTGGCGTATTTTTGCTGGGGTCTCTCTTTTTCTAACTACTCATTGCAACCACCCGCTTCTACCAGTAGGATCCCTCTAAATCCTTTTTGTCTTCTTTGTCTATTGCTTTGTCTATCAATTTCAATAATCGGGCCGCTGGATCACGTACATCCGCGATTTTTACCAGGAAACTCGAGCAAAATTAAAAGGGTACCAAACAAAAAGTGACCCAAAAGCGGGTAGTAGGTTTGAAGCATGTCTGCATGATATCAGCGTCGGTGCATGACGCTGAGGCCTTTGTGGAATAAAATGCTTCAATTATTTCGCAAAAAAATGGGTCAGTTCTTTCTTTTGAGCCGAGTCCTCTTATTACCCACTGCGCGGTGCCAGTGGAGCCGAGCAATAAAAGCTCGCCTAACGATGTGCAAGCAACGCTGCCAATTTGCATGAACATTCTTTGATCCACGAGCAAGGAGCATTAAGTTACCACCACTTTTGCCGTGATAGCGAAAAGGGCAGTGAGTGCAAAATTTTCGAAATCGAGTCTTCTTCAAAATTCGTCTGACCTCTTTCAGATGAAATCACTGAAAATAGCTAGGCAAAATTCATCTTAACTGTATAAAAACGAGACATTTGAGAAAACCGTAGGTGCGCAAAAAAGACGTGGTTTCAGGTAAGACAGAAGGAAGTGTCAATTTTCTTCCAGAGAGCCAGGGGGATGTCTAGTTTTTTTTTTTCATTTTGAGAAATCCTGTTGAAATCCTGATTTTTGACTGCTAAATTCTGATTTCATAATTTTTCCAAGACCTGATCAAATCTTGATTTTTTTCGAAGAAAAATTAACTGCATGTGACTTCATAAAAATAGCTCGATAAAAAAATCCAATCAGACGGCCAACTTTCCTCAAATCCTGATTTTACGACCGATTTTTCCTAAAATCCTGATGAAATCGGGATTAAATCCTGATTGACCTCAAATCCTGATAGAATCGGGAACATTCTGATGCTAGGCACCCTGGCCAGTGAAAACAGCGTTTTCAAGTAAATTGCAGCCCTCTTCTTATCTGCTAATTTCTAACCTGGAAATGTTAATTTCTAATCTGGAAATGTGTTTGATGTGCGTCCAAAACGCAACCACGAAAGCATGCAGAAGATAACTCTTACGGCTGTCTTGCCTAACAATAACCAGTACCATGAACATGAAAAACACCCTTTTCATGTAATTGAGATAAAATCAGTCAATTTTTAATCATCCAAACGAGTTCTAGGAGTCTTTCGAACGATTAGTGGCAATTTGACGAAGAACGGAAGCTTCTATCAATAAAATTTTCCGGTCAGAGGCTTCTGAACCCGTTTTCTCAAAACTTCATTTTTGCGCTTACTACTCTCCTCGCTATCACTGCCGTGATAGCGAATAAGGGAGCCGTAAGTTCAAAACGAAGTTTTGAGAAAATAGGCTCCCTAGCGTCTGAGCGATTTTCATCGAATGAATCCTCCGTTCTTTCTCAAATTCCCACCACTCATCAGTCTTAGAAATCGTTTGGATAGTTAAAAACTGACCAATTTTACTCCAATTATATGAAAAGAGTAATCATCCTAAACGCAGAAGGGAATTGAAGGCGTGATGCGCCTTCAATCGTTGAAGGAAGGCCACAATCGCTCCGTGGAGTACGTTTAGTTGTATTCTTAGGTTCAAACCTAACTAACAATAAGTTGTTTTCTGCGGCGAGGACAGCGGTTCAAGCTAAAAGATAATCAAACGGTACGGGAGTTACATCGATTAACGTAAATATCCTCTTCCTTTTTTATTTTTTTATTATTTCTCTCAATTTCTATTGAGAAATAAGATCATACGTCATCGTGAGCGGGAGTGGGAATTGAAGTTACGATGCGCCTTCAATCGTGTAAGGTAGGCCAAAATCGCTCCGTGAAGTACGTTTAGTTGTATTCTTAGGTTCAAACCTAACTGAGCTATTTTCTGCTGCTTCGGCGGCGAAGATAGCAATTCAAGCGAACATATTATAAAACTGTGCGGTAGTTGAACCAATCTACGAAAACGCCCAATCCCTTTCTTCTTCTTTCGTCGTATTTCGAACCATATTTTGGGTTGAAATACACCAAAATAACGGCCATTGCTGCAGGGTGGCAAAATTTTAAAAAATTTCTTTCGAATTTCCGTATACCAAGAAACTACTATTCGGATGTACGAGTATTTAAGCTTGAAGGGATTATGTTGCACGCAACCCCTATGCATATAGTTCCATTTAGCATAACTAGTGCATTTCTGGCTCATCAAGCACATGCTCGCATTGGGAAACACTGCCGTAATAGCGAAGAAAGCATGTCAAATTTTCGAAATCGAGTTTCCTTCAAAATTCGTCTTGTCTATTTTAGATGAAATCACTTAAATAGCTGAAACGGCAAAATTCATCCTAATTGTAACGAGACATGTGAGAAAGCCGCAATTGCGCAAAAAGTGACGCAGTTTCAGGCAAAACAGCAGTAAGTGACATTATTCCTCCAGAGAGCCAAGAAAAACCGTGCTTCCAAGTAAAGTGCCGCCCTCTTCTGCCAATTACTAGCCTCAAAATGCGTTTGTTGTGTGTCCAAAACGCGACCACGAAAGCGTGCAATAGATAGCACTTGCGGCTGTCTTGCCTAACACTAGCTGAACATGAAAATGATTAATACCCTTTTTACGTCATTGAAATTAAATCGGTTGATTTTTAATCATCCGAACGATTTCTGTGAGTCTTCCTGACGATTAGTGGCAACTTTACAAAAAAACGGAGGCTTATTTCAATAAAATTATCGGGTCAGAGGCTTCTGAGCCAGTTTTCTCAAAACTTCATTTTTGCACTTACTGCTCTCTTCGCTATCACGGCAGACTTAGGTATACTCCTTCCTTGCACTGCGACTTCACTCTTGATGAAATCAGCGTCCCGAGCGTGATTTGAACATTTGAATTTTCCGCTGAGATTTCGAGCCCCAGTAAAATATAGAGAAGGTCAAAACGGACATTTCGAGATGTAAGGAATTTATTGGAAGGTTCAAGAAATGATCAAACTAGATTGCGCAAACCGCGGATTGCGCAATTAACTCCCAAGGGGTTACGAGCCGCGTCGCATTACCATCTCACGGGCGATGCAACTATTTTAACCTGAGAGTGTTGCGGGGTATCAGCTCCAAATGAAGGCACATTTAGTCGCGTCATATCCACGCTGCGATACCTTGCTACTATGTTCACGGTGAAAAAGACCGTTTGTAAACAAAAATTACGATGAACAGATAGGACTTGCTCATGGCTATCTATGGCCATAGTGCAAAACCACGCATCTTTGTTTGCGACGTTGCAAACTTACTGTCATGTTTTACTTTTCCTTCGGAAAGCTTGTCCACGTAATTTCTTGAAAACTGCCTTGACTGTCCCTCTCTATTAGCATAATACTTGGTACACATTTTCAAGCTAAAAATTTGGCTTCACGGAAAAAATGAAATTGCTGATTTAACAATTCAATTGCTAAAAAAAAGTGACTGCAATATTTCAACATAGATTTCACAACAAAAAAATTCTACTTTAACGACCATTGCAAGCTAATTTAACGACTATTGTAAGCTAATTTAACCACAAGGGTGGTTAAAGTAGCATTTTTTTTTGTTGTAAAATATTCCCAGAGACATTGCAGTCATTTTATTTAGCAATTGAATTGTTAAATCAGCAAATTCATTCTTTCCGTGGTTTCTCTAGGAAAAAATAAAATCGAAGAGGTAATTTAAGCGTCGCATTGGAGATAGGTGGTTTCGCACTTGGGCCATCAATATGCTGATTTTAAATAGGAAAAACGGCGGCTCTGCGTGCATCCTTCTATTGTCGTTGGTCGGACGCAGCTCGGGTTGGGGCGACGGGGCGACCAATGGACCNGGGGGGGGGGGGGCAGCCTTGACGGGCGCTTGCGCGGGACGCCAAGAGACCAAGGTGAAGCGAATCGCGCTGACCTCGCGCAGAGGCGCCTCCTACAAACAACGGGATAACCCAGCCACAGCATCTTCCGCTACTCCAGTACTCCAGTTAACGGAGCAACCGCGGGCTTGTTAGTCA